GATGGAGACAATAATTTTTCATTTACGACGACAAGGCTGAGGAAGTTGGCATGCGAATCCAGCATCATATGGCCAGATCTGAATTAACCTAGAGGACGCACTGTTATGTCAATTAAGCATGAGCGGATGATTTTTCTGAACGGCGACACTGGGAAAGGCTTTGAGTAGAACCATTGATGGACCAACCCATCAAAGACATCCGAGCTGTTAATACTAATGGGAGTTAATCCTTATATTTTAGGTAGGTTGCAGTGAAATTAAAGAGAAGACTGGATTCTAATGTGAAATTTTGGGGCAAATACCACCAAAATTAACCAAATTGGCAATTGGACATTGTGGATGGGAGATTTTAAACCAATCATACATGCCACTCTAAACAAACGCAAATGATGCACACTTTCAGGACATTAATGTCGACATTTAAATGGGGAAGTTGGGTGAAATTCTGAATACTTGAAATTTCTAATAAATTCTAAAGTGTTCGCCAAAATCGAATCAAATTAAAGAAGACTTAGCTGATTTCGGCCTCTTCGGATTGCTCAATATGCAGAAAATGGTCACAGAAGTTGGAAATTTTAAGCCGTATAGTCCAACATCCTAAAGGAAGGTATTAGCAGAAATATAGTTGAATAGGCCTACAACTTAGTGCGAGATTAGATTAGCGGGACACGGGAAACGAACGAGCCCGTAGCAAGCGCTAGTACACATTTTTAAAGATCTGGTGGTGTTTTACTCTTAAAAGGGTTACTACTTTGAAGTAAAGTAACCGTTTTTAATCAAGTAACGCCTAACAGTCGAAAAAAATAAAATTGCAATTGTACTTTTGATAGAAGAAGACAATGCTCAATGTAGGAGGAGTCAGCATACACAACCACAATTGCGCACATGGAAATAAAAACACTGGTATCCAAAGTTTTGGAACGCAACAAGCATAATTCCCCATGAGTCGATGCCGAGATAGGAGGGCAACAGCGTTCGTAATAGAGCCTGGGTGTGAAACAAGCTGCGTATAAAACCAATGTACAAAGAGATCATATGGAGAATGATAATAAGTTTAGACCGAAACATGGGCTGCTACGAGTAGATGGCAACACGAAAGGCAGAGACACGTCCAAGTGACGAAAACTTGGCGGTAGCAGCGATCACGATTATTATTCTTAATGATTCCAGTCACATGCAAATTCTGGGTAGAAGAAACCAGTATTTTAAAAATATTCGATGTCGGAGAAAGGTGATAGTACGTAAAAGGGAAGAGAGCTGGATGACTTTAAAAAACGATACCCCACCAGATGGAGAGCAGAGTAGAGACTTTACGAGCGCAAAGGACTTTACAACCAGGGCAGTAAAATAGCGAAGTGCATTTGGTGAGAAAACCTTACAAACGAAAAACCTACCCCTAGCTCTTAAAAGTGAACGATTTCAAATAATCTCCCGAAATCACCCATATGCTTGAGAAAATATGAGAAGCAAAGAAATCGGATGCATATACTGTTAAATATCCAGGGTTGATAGAACAGTCGTTTGTGACTAGAGACAAATGATACGTTCGTTATTTCAATAGAAAGCTATAAGGATTAACATTAAGTAAAAGTCCACATTTACCTGTAGGGATAACCCTGATTTTTTCTGCGGAATAGGGATAAACATAAACTGATGAAGATCGAAAACATTACTATTCCCGTTATTGCCATTGCTAAGAAGTGATTAAGTAAATAAACGAATAAATTTTATAAATTAACCTACCTCGTCGTTTTTCGGGATCCTGTGTCTGACCAGCATCGGCCATAATAACAATGCTCAAGGACACAAGAACGTCTGTGAAGTGAGCTCAGGAATGATTTATGGTAATGCATTCAGTATAAAAAAGTACGGCAAAAAGCATTTCAAAATTTCACATATCTTATAAAGGATACAGGTGAAGAGAACGATGATTGTTTCGCAGACAAATTGGGAAGAATTGCTAGGATAAAAGAGCGCCTGAGAACAAATAAACGTTTGACCACAAATTAAACAAGTCTTACAAATCCACCTTCAGCTGACGTATGAAACAAAGGAGGTTTGCGGATATTGTTCCAAACTTGACCAGAGATCATGTAAAATATGAGGATCTCAAAATAGGACAGCAAAATTAACCTACCATACACGTACACGACAACGTTGATCGATTAAGAAAACATTCAAAATTATCGGGACGAAGAAAGAATATAATTCCCCCCAGTCCTGCCACGAGGAGCAACAGAATTATTCCAGAGTAGCTAGAGGGTCGTTCAATTTGTATCTAAAAGAATGACCCTGGACAGCTGTGGAATTACATTGACGTCTGTCTTCATAAATATCCACTTTGCAAGAGCTTCAGCATTGAAACCATTTCGGGAAACATCAAACATATCCGCTTCCCTTGGTGAACCAGTAGGTGGAAAATGAATAAATACGGGCACGGTGTTTTGGTTAAGCTGGAGAAGTTAAATATTTGAACACGATCTTACGTCGGTGAAAATTTTAGAATCTTCATCATAGTCGGCAACAGCAAAAAACAAATTTTTATGCTCTTTTAACAGTGAATAGGAGACAGCAATAACGTTAAATTCATCACTCGCTGCCCTGCATAGCGAATACAAATCAATAATTTAACTTACTGACATTGATGACAGCCACGCTTGTGACTCAGTGCGGTCAGCATTAGAATAACAGAATAATTTCGGGGGCTATCAACCAAAAATTCCTTATATTTATCAAAATTTAAATGAAGCAGATTCGAGTTATCCAAATTTGCTGTTAGGCTGTTAATTTTTTTCTCAAGAACCTAAAGCGACATAACTGGCCAATTTTATATACTTTTGACTCAAGATATGCTGTTGTTTCAGGTGCACAGTTACATGATGAAAAGTAAAATATGACTAACAACGATAATGGGAAATGCATTTTGTATACGAAGCTGAGGGCACGGTGCTTCCACGCTAAACGCAGTCCAGCACGCTTGCAAAATTACCCCATCAACCAATTTGTATTTACCAAATATCTATTTATTAGTTAATCAGGATTTCAAAGAGCTTGTGCCTATGTTTAAAATGTTTCGTTCGTGTACTTTTATTTCCTGATGCCAATTTTTATGGGCTAAACAGAGACACAGCATAAACCTATTTATTGATCGAATGCTCAAGAAAAATTGACTAAAAAGTATTAAAATAAAAAGGTAAAAAATTGCTAAAATTAAATAACACTTCAAGATGTGTTAAAATGATGTTTTATCGTTGTCAGGTTAATATAATCAACATGTCAACTGCAGCATAATTTAGTGAAATGCCAAAAATTCATCTGTGAAGTCGTATTAATAAAATCAATTTTGCGTTCCCTAATGAAAGATTCTGCATTCATCTTCACAGAGAGTTTAGATTTTAAAGATCAGAAGACGATGGCAAACATGTTTCTTGGGAATACTTTGTTTACCCAAAAGGGAAACATCCATATTACATGTCTTACCCTGGTCAATCAAAGGAATATATTTTCTCTAATTTTTTTACAGTCGTTGCAGTTTATAGCTGTATTTTTATTTCTTATTTCAATTATTGGCTTAGATGTCTTGGTGTAGACTTATGTGTTAAGTTTTATAAATCCACCTCTGATTAGATGCCCTTTAACGGTGTTGATAGGCAAATGTCTAAATTCCGGTAGCTTTAATTTTAATTGCCAATAACCTAGACGTGTAAGTTATACGTAATAAGACCTTTTTGGCATACTGTCCATTTTAAATTAATGGTCAGTTCACATGAAGAAATATGGTTGTGTAGACTCCGTCACTTTTCTTATTTCAGGTGGTGAAATTAACATTATTCTTAATAACTTACAATTATACTGATTCGCGGAATAAATCTGAACTCATTTAACTTTAGACTAAAACATTTAGATGCTAAGAAGAGCAGAAAATTAATCCAAGTTCCTTGCCTTGTTCCTTCAACAAACATCCGTTAATATTTCGAGTAACAAAATGTAGATACGAAAACCAAGTAGAATGTACTCTTTGCGTCGTTTAAGTCTTTTCGTCTACCTTCCTAAAGTTCTCACTGATTCGGTTTTTCTAAAAATAGGTAAAATGCTAAAAAATCAAATTAATTTGCAATATTGCTAGACACGACAAAGATTTTGTAAAAGTTTCCAAAAAATTAGCGAGGTAATCGTAAAGAATTAAGCCGAAATGTTTGATTATGGTATGAAAATTTATAAAAAAAAAAAACACAATTTAGGCGTAACTTTGGTATTTCGTGAAATTGAATGGCCACTGTAATTCCACAAATCAAGTAAAGTGTAAATGCTATTAAAGGCTCAATTGGAGTTTCACTGAAAGGCAATCTGTGGCTGTTTGCAATTAAAAGTCCTCTAAATTTTCAAAAAACTCTTAAGGAACAACTAAACTACCTTCCCACAATTAACTGACACCTCATATTTAGGAGTAAAATTCGCCATAAAATTTGACTGTTGGTGATTTACTTACTGCAAGTAGTAAAACCTATGTGATCAATTTGTTGCATGTTTTAGATACACACTTTTAATCAACACTTATGTACCATATTATGCAATAGATTTGGGTCATATGTTTTGGTAAAATTAAGTTGTCTTGAATGAAGTTCTATGAAAAGGTGAAATATGACGTGCTCAGGCAGTAAACGTAACAATCTAATCGGAGAGTTTCATTGGCGACTCAGTCCACCTGTCCCTAAAATACCAGTACCATGTATTGTGTCAAAACAGTGTTACTGCTCCATCAAAAAGATTTAAATTTGACGCGCAGTCAAAACTCTCATGCCGTTTGAGGGTGTTAACAAGTCCTGAATGTCGTATGCCTTACTTCCTGTATAAGAAACAAAAATGTGACCTCACTATGTGTTCTTTTTACTATTTAAGCCACTAATTTACGCCTTGAATTGCCTTTACAGCAAAATAGATTGCTCATCAAGGCGACAAACAAACTAGCTAGGCTCTTATTTAATAAACACCTGTGGAATGACCTGTAAGCAGGCATGTAATCAGATACATAACCGGACATCTATTTTGTGTGAATTGAGTGAGAAAATTTTTAAGGTTCATAGACTTTGAAACTAAGAAGGATACTGGTTATCTGGCGAAAAACTGAATGAACAAATAAATCCTGAACCTTGAGTACGAAATTTTCATGCCATGGATTTCGTGCTACCCGAAGTAATTTCAAAATAAGTTAGTCATATTATCAAGGTTAATACAGCGGACCGAGGCGAACTAAGACTCAAATGGTGGCAGCAGGATCAAAAGGCGCATTCGCTTACTTTTTAGCAGCAGTTTGATTATCCAGGGGGGATGGAATTTTCTGTCATACCACGTGTTACAAAAATGCGTGTGAAAGCGGTTTTAACCAATAGGCCTTAGGCTCGTTGCACAAAATCTTACCTGACACACACTTGATCACTGCAATATGCCACAGAGATGGCAAAAACCACAATCACGGAGCTCTGTAACGTTCCACTTTTAATTCTTGCTATTCTTGTGCGTTCTTCGCCATCTCAAAGCCTTCTGGTAAGTGTTTATATTTGTAATGCATTATACCGGCTTTTTAAATTGCCCTGTTTGAACAAATCCAATGATTGTTCTTCAAAGCAAATATAATTAACAAAATCTTAATCGGTTCCATTAAAATGCAGAAGCCAGCATAATTTTTTCAATATGCTTTTTTAATCCCTAAACTTAAAATAATACACTTCAGTGCCTATGATGTATACAAAAAGGAGAGCGCTGTGCTCCAGTCTAGCTGCAATGGCATATGAAATAAAATATTCACTTTTCAAAATCTGACAAAAATTCTTTTAGCATTTGAGCACCCTCCTGTGATAATTGGGACTATTTATGCCAGTAGGTTTCAGGTAGCTTGTTAGAAATCATTGTGATTCAAAAGACCATCCTATGAATCCCGCTGGAACTGCCTTCCAAGATGCATCTGACTACGGCATTGAAAATTACAAGACAGAGATTACTGTAAATGAATCCAAGATCACATCTTGCATTTCAAAAGGAATATGAGTTCACATCTGCTGTTTCAAGTGCTAGCGGTCAGCAAAAAAACTTCACACGTACTCAGTTGTTTTAAATCACCAGCTCGGTTCTTTTCGTAATCTGTAGAGGCTGCGATTTAAGGAGCTTGAATGACAAGCCTAGCTAATATATATCCTAAAATTTCAGAGTGGCCACTTCAAATGCAGATGTAAGCGTTTCGTCTGGCAAAACAATGTGAGCCTAAATAAGATGAATTTTATTGTGAACTGGCACATTCGCTACCGTCAATGCTTCATTAAAATACTGCTTAAATTAGCTTGATGGGAATATCCGACATGACCTCCTGTGTATTTATAGACACCATTATATCTTTTCATACACAATCTAGCACCGTAAAACTCAGATGGTGTAGGTAGGGCAGTCAATAGGGCAGTTGATTTAAGGGGTGGTTTTCAGGGGCTTCATACAAATGTTTTCATGAAATTTGACTTTGGACTTTCACTTTGATTTCAAAAGGCGTTTATTTATCAAAATAGTAAAATAACTTGTCATGTTAACGTCGTCTTAACCATGCTGACTATAAACGTTGATATTATAAAAAGTTAAAAATTGAGCTTATTTAACCAGATAGTCCCAAGAACAAATAAATAAGAAAAGTGTTCAAAGCTACTATAGCTTCAGATTTCAAATTAGAGTCGCTTTTATTCCTCACATGGTTGATTATAACCTGTTAAAGCCAAAATCGTTTCTGCCCTTGAAAGTATCGTATGGCAGCCTACGGTAATTGAAGTTAACAAGTGATAGGGCTGATTCACTATTTATCAAAGCACAAAATCATGTACGGTTTGTAGTAGAAAACAAAATGAACACGCTTCAAATATTCTTAGAGTCAGACGAGAAATCCAAATAAACTGCCTGCCAAGATTTTTCGTAAGCTTGCATTATTTCGGCGTTTTTCAACAATATAAGTTGCAGTATAACTAGTAAATTGGATTTTAGGGCTATGCGGCAATTGGAACACTGGAAATCATATATTCAAACCCTGAAAACATCCTGCAAAATCGCCACGTGTGTGACCTTCTGCCACATGACCGAGCATGCGATGTTTACTTCGAAATTTGTTTCAGCTCAGAATATGGGTAGGCTTTTCCATTTCATCATATTTATGATTTCACTCTAGAATATTTCATTGTTAATTGAACTTTTGATAGTGTGAGCCGCAATCTCATATCTACTAGTTTTATCCGGTTTGACAGTCTAAGAAAATGAAACCGTTAATAAACTCAGGCAATTTAACATTAATGGTATTCTCTTTTAGCGAATGTGACATTTTCCAATACCGTTCGAAAATCTTCAAAGACTCCAGCAATGTCCGGATTGTCGGAGACTCTGCCATTATTATGTTTCTGAAGTCTCCCTTACCTGTAAGTTGAATTCCAGTTGACCTTCTGCCTGAACCGGCTTAAGTGCTTTTTGACGAAAAATCAATCGCATCACACGTTACGTGTAAGTGGCTGAGCCGTTTGACCTCAGATAGTGACTTGAGCAATTTGACGACGACCCTGCAAATTTGCGTAAACGTTGTCGTAGGTTAGTTTTAATGATGATCGCTACGATTATGGCGATGATGGTGGTGGTACAAAATTTGACAGCCATGGCGGCAGCTAACTTCTTTCAGTTGGGCTCTATTATAGAAAACCCAAACTCTCAAGAATCACAGTATGATAGGACTTCATGCTCAGACAAAGTCGAATTGAGGTTTAAGCGTAATGGCCTTTCTCAAATCGGCTTAAAAATACATTTAGCGCATTGTTATTAGTTTCATTGCAATTTTGTAAAACAAAGCGAACAACGAGAAGATCTTGTTCGGGGTTGGGCTTTTTTGTCTCATGCAAAGGCTGAATGATCTTTCAGAATGCGGCCTTGATGGATTTGTCGGTAGGGTGCCGTGGGTGACTCACATACTTAAGTGACATGGTTGGGGGAATTATGCAAACAATGGCAAGTACTAACCCGTCATGCGGAGTGCTGCCTCCCAAAACAACCGTTGATTCATTCGCAAAACACTATGCTAGCTCCACGCATTTTGATGATTAGGGCTGCTAGTTAAGATATTTAGGGAAAAGTTTGTCAATTTAGCAGTAACTAAAGTGCCCTTAGATTTACTCGTTTGACTGATAATACCTTATCGCGCTTTTGTGCGTGAATACATATTGACATATAAATAACAACGGTGCCCTGTTCATCTCTTTCTATAGTTATAGACAAACCTCTTTGTTCACGGGTTCTATGGACGTCGAGGTACAAGAAATAATCTAAAACGATGAAAAATTAGCAATCCAAATTCATCTCGTGCAATATGACGCAGAACAAAACGATTTCATGAAATGACATCGTTAGCCCAAACGATGTAGAAATTCTCCACAGTGTGTGTGAAAGCAATGTGCGAGTGCATTTGTAGAGTGCTTGTGAACAAAAAATATTAGCTCTGTATAGGAACCAATGAGAACAAAGAGTCACGAATAGTAATAATGCACAAACAAATTCCTCGGAGTGACTGAACCAATTTAGCCTCAGCTGTGAATACACTCCAGTCACGGGATTAAGTTAACAGTTAGATCAAACTTAACGGTTTCGTATTCTTGTGTAGGATCAAGTGGACGTCAAGGTAACAGCCTTCGATCACGATGCGATCAGTGTGCACGACCTAATTGGAGTGTTTACTGCAACCAATGTTTCAATTGTGGCAACTTCTGACTTTGTTGATATTCCGGTTACGCCTCAAAGTAACAAGGTTTCCTCTATGAGGTAAAGTGCTTTATTAACACAACGGCAAAGCTCAGCTTCGGAAATCAGTTATTAATCGGTAGTTACTTTCTAAACCCACAACCTTCACACTAAGAGAAGGGGGAATAAGGAAAGAAGCAAATACCATTTGCATTGTTTCTTGATTACACTTAAAATTTTACAAGGTACCAAAAATAAATTTATTAATAATGAGACTCTCGAAAGCCCAAAACAGAAGCAAATTGGTTTTTGCCAATCAAAATATGACGAATAGATGTACCTTACATGGAAATTCTATGATTTTTGTCGTGTTTAATAAACAGTGCTATGTGGCTCAAATTCTGTGTTCGCAGTTGTCATTTAAACTTTTGTATACTTTGAAAAAAAAATCAATTCTAAAAGAAGGGTCAGATTTTTTGCCAAGGTTTGTGAGACAATGAATTCAATATCTCCTTACCTGTTTTGTTGTATTAGCCTTTGTAATTAGAAAGGAAAGGTCCGTTTTAAACCGACCTGTTCCTAAGACGGCTGAGTAATATTTGATAATGATAGCAACGCATTTGATGTGGATTACATAATAAAGAATTTGGGAGGATTAGAAACCGCATGGTGTGATGGGAGTTTGGAGTAATTGTGTGCATACATTTCATGTTGTCAGATCCAACTCAAGCTTAACACTAATTTCATTTTTTATTTAAATTCATCCAGCGTTTACGCATTAAAACCTGGCAATAAGATGGTATTCACACCCATTAACCAACCTGTATGATCATCGGCGACCATAAACTAGTGTGATAATGTGCATTGTTAAGCTACCCGGTTTATTTTATCATAAGGTTTCAAATGGGCTTAAACGTAAGTTGTCTTGAAAACTATTACGGAGACCGATGTCAGCGGTACTGTAAGCCAGATGGATTGTCCTATCGATGCTCGCTGAATGGTGACCGTATCTGCCTTGAGGGTAAGTCAGCGCAATTCTCAGCCTTTCAGATAAGCCTTCCAAATATCTGTCAAAATTAATGAAATGCAAATGATTTTAGGGTTTTTCGGTGAATATTGCAATCATAGCAACGTCTGCTTGCGTGAACCCTGTGCTCCAGGAGCTGAGTGCGTAGCTAAGCTTGCCGGAAGGATTTGTATTTGCAATGGAGGTGACCGTAAGTGATCCTACCTTTTTTCCTACTTTTGCGAATAACTTTATACTTTCCATGGATTTGTTGTCAATAAATGGGTGATCGAAAATCTTTTTGTGGCCACGAAAGAGGATGGAATAACACGTTGCTTTTTGTAGACCAATTATCCCCCCTCATCCTGAAAAATTATTCTTTAAATTACTAGGCAAACGTCAAAAATGTGATGTAATATAAGTGTTTGCTTTTGCTATTCAATTGTTAATGCTTTAACGGTTGAGTTTAAGATCGATTTCTTGCAAAGGTCTCCAGATTAATCTAAGCGAACGAATGGGAATCGTGATTAAAATTTGTACTTTAATAATATTCCAAGGCATCCTGCCATATGATGTGATAAGACGTAAAAACATTAAAACTATTTTAATGGATGAACACGAAATATTTCAAGACATCAATAAGTACTCTTACTTTGTAGTACCAGGACCACTTTAGAGAAAATCGAGGCAAAACGTGTTTGAAACATTTAATTAATTGTTCGGGGAATAGTTGTTTGAACAATGCCAAACTACTCTACCTAGATCCCGAGTGCTACCCCGAAAATGACCCCTGCGCAATGTCGCCTTGCTTAAATGGTGGAGAGTGCGGTCGAAGTTTGACCAATCCCCGTGGCTTCATATGTAGCTGTCCAAAATACTACACAGGAACATTTTGTGAGCAGCGTCTGTCGGTCTGTGCACTGGCGGAGGAAGAAGGGAGCTCGCTGATGCGGGAGACTTTTACAATGACTCGGCGCAACGCCGAACAGTCAGAGGGAACAAATAACGCCATGCCCGAAACTGCACTATGCCTAAATGGGGGAATCTGCGTGGATCACCCCAAACTTTTCACATACTTTTGTGACTGTCCCAAAGAGTGGACCGGAAAGAGGTGTGAAAAACGAGTGATAGAAGTAAGATTGTAATAACGTGTTATGGATTAATGAATTAATTCTGAAATTGACCATTGTATCAGCGCACCACTTTGGGTTGCTAAATTGTCTTGTTTTATCTATCAGCACCTAATTAGTCCCTGGAAATTAATTAGCTAGCTATTTAAAACTAGTTACATGCAGTAAAACAGAAATGTGTAAGGAATGTTTTCTGTTCATTGAACCAGGTAGTCTAAATGCGTTTAAGAACTGATGAAATGTTAATCAACTGGGTACCATTGTTTAACTTCCAAAAAGATCGTAAACCAACAACTGGAATAAATCTGCACAGTTAAAAATGTATTAACAAACAGGAAGAGCATAATTAACTATTCAGGTGTGAATAGATATAAAATCTGCTGCTGGTACGATATTTCTTTGTCAAAGTTCGAGCCATCAAAGCATTTGCCAACATAACGTAACAACACGTAAAGTAGCCTATGTGCTTACGTAAGCCTGTGAGGTTGCAGTACAATTACGATTTTGAATACCGTCCACAAAATCATTATCTTGAGGATTTTGTAAGCATTTTACCCGAATTTGTCGCTTTGCACTTCCTAACAAGGTCAGGATTAAAACGGTTGTTTGCTGTATCATTCATTCAAATCTTCCAATAAATTTGTCTGTCTAATTTATTCCAAAGCATGTCATGATTTGTTGAATACCCTAATTATCCCAGATTTGAGGCCTTTGTAGTCGCATGAGCCGAAAACACCAGCTGGCATTAAATCAAAGTTTGTCATCATATTTTAGCAACATGACGTAACGCTTGCAATCGGGCTAAGTTGTGGGATATTTAGCGTTATCCTTTTGATTGGAGGCATTGTTTACTTCTGCAAACGCAGAAGATGGAAAAGGTTAGTGCGACTATTGATATATTTTTACGAATATTCGTTGAAGTTGTTTTGGCAAGTAGCAAATTAAAGTTCCCATTTAAATGCGTCAAAGATAATGCTGAACCCTATTTGTGACCATGTATGTGGTTAAACTAACGCTTTGATAATGTGTCAGAACGTTTTATCAACGTAGTTTTGCAGAAAAACTTATCTAGATCATATTTTGCCCATATTCAGATTCTACTGCATTGACAGAGGGTAAAACCTAATCATGATTGTTCTAATCTGTTCTCTTTTATCTATCATACTTTCTAGACGTGTAACAGTTCTGCAAGAAAGGAATACTTTTATATATGAGACTCCATTTCAGCAGACAAATCAAAGTAGTGGCCTTACAGCGAACGATGGAATTTATGCCACAAATGGGAGAGATTCTTACTATGAACCAATTCATCCATTACTAGGCGACAGTCTAAGTATCCAACGGCCAACCTCAAGCGGCTCAAATGACAAAAATAATCCCCCTTTACCAGCAAGACCTTCAAACCTACCAGTGATTAATATCTCACATAAAGAAGCAGAACCAAATAGCTCAATAAAATAGCTTGCTTTATTTTATGTATTTAATTAAACTTCAGAATTTTTAAGCACATTTATGTATATACACAGGCTATGGACTCTGCTTTTGGTTCAATGTAAATGAAATTGAAAAGTTGTCATATTAAAGAACAAATAATTTCAGAATTTCATTTCTTGATCTTACTGGACCGAAAAAAATTAAATCAGCGTAGTGCAAAAGTTTTGTCAACACTGTGGCACAAAACCATAATGCACACATAGATTTGTTGTGGGCCCGAGCATGTGGTCATGAACCACGCCGGGCCACTGGATTAACCCTGGCCCGATTACGCTTAACTGATACCCAGAGAGGACGTAGAAACAGCCGCTTACTTCAGAGCTCAACAACGTTGGTGTCGTGTGTGGGGTTTAAGCGTGTGTATTTATAGGTCAGATGCATGAGTCATAGATGCGCTAACATCAAACTTATGTGTCAGCATTATCCATTGATTTCTTCGGCCCCATGGTTTGGTCCAGAAGAGAGTAAGGCAAAATGGAGTCCTTTGATAAAGGCTAAAACAAGCCACTATCTGGTTATAAACTGGTCGGTCCTGTGGGGGAAAACAGGGGCTTTAAATATCCTTGTCCTGGTCTTCCTCTTCTCTCGTTGGTCCGTTCCTTGGCGCTGCAATGGAGACCGAAAACTCGTAAGCTGATTGGATCTCGGTCCCCTGCACGTCATTCAATGCCCGCGTGAAGCCACGCAGCCGGAAGTCGCACCCCCGGTCACATGACGTCGCCTCCACACCGTGCTAATTACCTTCGACCAATGACTGATCGCCAAAATGGCGGCAACCTGCCATCTCCCCATACCATGATAAATATTTGTGCGAATGAGAGGGGAGTTGAGGATCTGTGTGGCTGGCCACATTCTGCGAAAAGGGGAACCCTGTGTCGCAGGATGGAGCGACCGGGTTAAGGAGTGTGCATAAACACGATTCACAACAGATTAATAATTATCAAAAAATAGGCCGTGATAAATCACGTGTCATTTAGCGAAAACAAAAACGTTAGTTAATGAAAGGTAAGGGTGATTTATTGATCCCAATCAACCTATGACAAATCTGATAGGTCCATATATGCAACTGTTCTATCATGGATTACTTTAATTCGGGGAATAAAAAGGCTGAATTGTGGGTGGCAAGCTATAGTATGAATCTCTCTGCATCCATAAAAACATTTAAAATCCTGAAGCAGACTTGGTGCAACGTTTGCATTGCAATCAGAATTAATACAACTTAGAACACTGAATGATGCTACCCATGAATATTTCTTGGGGATTTCCATCGGCCGAATTTAACATAGCAAAATTCGCAGGTCGCCGATAGGGTTTCAAACAAACATAGGTATATGTGGGAGAAGAAATGGAAGGAAGGAAAAATGTCCTGATTGGTGTAAAATGTTCCATTAGATATTACTACGATGATATTGAATACATAGTTTACCCTATGCATGATGTTTTAGGAACACATGACGAATCAAAGGAGTTAGTTACCAAGCAAACAGTCAAACAAATGCCAGGATGTGACGGCATGCAAAATTCTCAGGTGCTTAATTTTAATTTGGGCAGGAACATAGGAGCGAAGCCTGCCAATTTGAATTGAGCATATTGTTTTTGGAACAGATGAGAACTACATCTAGTATAAGTTTGGGCTGTATTTATCATGAAGTTCATTTAGTTTTTTTGACTTCATATCTAACTATTCAAAACCGGTGCGAGAAACTGTGAAATGATTGTAAAGAACACAACAGAGTGGGCTTAGACGATGTTACTAGCCCTATCATAGTAGCGATTGGTGGTTGCAAATTGCAACACGGTGTAAAATACCCGAGCCCTAGTATAGAGGAGACTGATACAATAGAACAAGCTTTATTGACTCATAACCAGTCAGAACCGTACGTCAGGCGCCGTCCATCCGAGTCGAACACGCTGACTGTGTCAATCATTATATACTGATTCTCATACGTGTCATTCTCTGGTTGGCTGTTATCTTCCTTGCAGATGGTTCAAACGCGAATCGACGGAGGATTGGCTAAGGCTAACGGGGTCTAATATGTCTGCATCCTGGTATATCTCTACGCTAAACTGCTTACAAAGACTTTCTCATAATGTTCTGGCATGCTACAATACGATTATTCTGAGTTTGAAAAGAGGGCTATAAATGGGGTCATTGTACGAAGTAATAATAGTTACTTGCATCAAATATGACATTGGTTTTAATCTATTGTCCGTCAGAAACGACTGAAAATTATGCAATCTAAACATCAGGTTATTATTTTGTTCCACGATGTCTAATGATTTTACTGACTAAAGCATCTTGAAATCTAACAGACACTCAACTGGCAATACTTTAATTGTGAAAAAATCAAGGGTTTAAAATGTGCTAGCATAAATACGGTAATATAAAATAGTTGGCAAATTAATCAACACAGTTAGTATTAGTTTAAAAATAATGCTGCGTAAAAGAAAGAGGACAGTTAACATTTGTGGTTCTTTAGATATCTCGAAATTCTATTTACCCAGGCTCAACAACAAATGTAGAACGTCTAACAGATCTCTAAGTTCAGTTATTATGCTCACCAGATTTGACACTGTCCTGACATATTCTATAAAGTCATCGTGGCAAAAGTGGTTAGTAGCAAGTTGATTCGCCTATTAATCCAAACTAACAGCAGTTTTATTAGTGTCTTTTCACTTTTAAAGATTTGCTCACTTCTTACACTAGCTGAAGTAAGCGACATTAGCTCTCGCATTTTATTTATTTGCTTAACATGCCATGATGACTATCTTGATAGGCATTAGTTCCTTGGGAACTGAATTATATTGGTATATGCAACAAAATTTATGTTGTAATCGACCAAACGTAATACGACGCTATATGTGGGAGTATTTTGGCATTGTGCTAGGTAGTGGTGTGAAAAGAGCCGAATTGACTCAGATTTTGAGACAAAACCGAGGGAGGAATCCAAAACCAAAAATTGGTCACTGGACGTCATATAGGGTAAAAATAAAGTGACAGCGTCAACTTGGGACCAAATTTACAATTAGATACCTGTAGCTATACGTCCCAACGAAATAAATATTTGCAAATTAAAATCAAAAACGAATGGCCTTAAGGTGGCTAGATCGCATCCTGGAATCAATAGGCTAACCAGAACTCGGTCAAAGTATGTTTCATCGCAGCAGCCACCCCCCTGAAAATTCGTGCAGACTCATTGAAAGGTCAGCAATGTCAGCAGAGAAAATTTGATTTACTTTTGATACAAATAATCAATCGTTAAATTTATAAACCGTTTTTTGAAGATTTGATGGCAGAAAGAATTTACTGCAATGGCATTGGCTTGACAGAGAGGGTGGCATTGTTGTTATCAGATAAGAGGCTCTAATGCCAAATTTATAAAGGAACAGGTCAGTCTGTTAATTTAATTTTAAAAGGAAAATGTCAAATATTGGTCGCATTCCAGGTATTCGATTGTAAAACAACAGAATTTATTAGCTTAACTCCGTGAAAGCTTTCGGATCTGGAAAGTCGATTACTTTAGTATCAGTTTACACCTACTCCAGTAAAACTCAGTTTAGAAATATTTAACTGTAATTATAATGAATTGATATTCCTGCTGCGTACAATGTTATATCATTTACATATAGAAATTAATCGCAAATCGATGTTTTTTTTTAAAAAAAAAGATCTAGATAAATTTCAATTAGTTTAATTTCATATTTGGAAATAAGTATTTTTTTTTCAATTTTCAGAAATTTTTTGGCAAGATTAGGAAAATACTTTTAATGTAAATGAAAATAGATTTAACCTATGGTTTTAATGACCTATAACATCAGGCCATCATTTCGAACTTTGGCAAAACCAATCAACCATAACTTTCTTGCTTAAAAGATGCTTGGCCGCCAAGTTACTCGCTTGGGCTGCCGTTTGACTTCCATTCATTGTTCGAAGTTCCGTGAAGTGAAGGCTCTTCATACGTCTGCGATTTTCAAAAATGCCGACTTATATAAGGTTCTGGGGTTAACTCACGACGCGACACAACGGGAAATCAAAGAGGCATTTTACGCTCTCTCGAAACTTCATCACCCTGACCTAAGTAGTGACGTCAAATCCCATGCCAAATTCCAAGAAATCTCAAATGCCTATGATATTCTTGGTGACCCTCACAAGCGCATGGATTATGATCGTGGCCTTGTCATACCAAAGCATTCGACCAAGCCTTCTGATTTTCCAACTAAGATTGATCCTGATTTTCTCCGTAAAGCAGATAGTGGTTCTTTTGAATCTCACTATGTTCGGTCATACAATCGCAATTTGAAAACTGCTTGGGCTCAACATTCTGATGAAAATATCGCTAAAAGTGCTTTCGAGTATAGGATCGACCAGCGGATCCTTGTCTCCGTAGTTTATCTCACTCTTTTCGGCTCTATTGTGGTATGCTTCTGGATTTCAAAATACTTTGAGGAACCTATCCCTCTCGTATCGTCTGGTGACTCTTAGATCAAAGCGTTTGTGTCAAATTTGTTGCTAAACAAATTTAGTTAGAACTAATGTTTCAGTAAATTCTCTTACCCAACTCGGTTTTTTTGTTGAGTTATATTATGGTCAGACAATTGTAGTGTTTCATTTAAAAATCAATTACAGGAACCGTCTAACCCCTATGGGCGAACAAAATTGAGCTAGTTCTATTTTTGTTTCGGTTGTTGCTTTTCTGTTGTGCACCTTAAATTATTCGCTTACCTAGGCTGCTACATTCACACATCCCAAAGTTGAGCACAAATCCCCTCCTATTTTTGACTCCGAAGTTCCATGTTTGTGTCTCTATATTTTTGGTCATTAATTGTTTTAATTATCATCTCGTACTCCGTTGAAGTGCAATAACTGTCAGCGTTTCACCATGTCTTTTAAATATTTAGCTCATATCACACCCACATGTCAATATGGCCACGCAAATTCTGCTAGGGTTTTACCTGTTTTTTGTTTTATAGTGGAAAAGGATTGATAGAATATTTCCTTAATGTCAGTGTTTGCGATCGCATCCGTTTTCTTTGTGATAAATTCTCGTTCGTGGCTGCTAGATTAAATCGTGACAATTTGTTTAATCATTTGGTATAACCCGTCACGTTCAGTCGTCCTCCACGTATTTTGTGATTGTCCTTTAATTTTCTTATTGTGTCTTTACGTAACCCGTAGCCACACTTACCCTCTCAAACCAGCGGCTCTACTGGCTGGATTCTTTTGACCTCTTAAGTAGAAGATTGAATCTATCAAATAGTTTCAGGACAATGTATCTACCATATTGTTAACATTAAGTATAATTTTTATGCCAATTTTCGGTGTGTCATCGCCGTAGTACTTTACACTCGTTAATGGGCCTGGCCATTGTCCTAATGCATGTACCAAATCGTTTTTCCTGGTCGTGCTAGAAAGACCTGGGCTACTTGACAAACTACCTAATTGAATCTCCAGTAGGTGATAATAAAATATAGCTGCCCCTTAAACGTTTATCTTTCGTTATCTACTGTATTTCTTCTCTCCTTGAACACATCTGCACTGTTCAGTCAACCCTTGTAAATAAACGATTCATGTTAGTATATGCACAAGATCAAACGATACCACAAGTAAAAATCTAGGCGCTTTTACTGAATAACGGCTTTTTTCATTTGGTTTATTCATTTATCGTCGATAAGCTACTACTCACTGCTTTTACTCAAGGGGACCACTAAGCGCCTACCAGGCCTTACGTGAAAATGAATTAAATCGGGACATAGTTCTCGTTATGTTGATGTATATTAGGATGTATCAGTAGCATTGGTCTAGTTAAATTTGGATTACATTCGCAAGGACTATTCCATCTAAATCTTTATTAAATCTTTTGGGTCACAGTCGTCTTTGTTCCTTTTTACTCGGGTCTGCGCAACAGTAAACCACATTTTTGCCTCAAAATAGTTTCAAACATTCTCCGAACTGGTTCGTTTATGAAAAGTTTACAACAGGGTTTTCACATTAATATCATATCAGCTGGCGGGGGTCGTGATTGCAGGGAAGCCAAGTAAACGTTATTTGTGTTGGTGAAGACCACCCAGCATCGTCGTTTGTCGTTTGGATCAAGGCAGGAGTCCAAGCTGTAGACGGCATTCGGCAGATTATTCAAACTCGCCACAATCTGTGAAAAAGATTCAAGTCTGCAAATTATTACGCAATGTGTTTCAGGAATGTCGTTTCTTTATCAGAATAGGTGACGTTGCCAAAGAGGCGAATAAGCATTCCGTTGAGTTCAGCATGTATATTCCCAACAGGTCATGTTGGTTATGGGATCCCTAACCTATTTTGTAGAAATAATACACACTGAATCCTGTTTCAGTGACCATAGAAATGCTATAATAAAAGAAGTTAGCGTACTCATCTGCTGATTACAGACAGGTTTCTAGAGTCCTATCCTCAGGCCCTTTTTCGACTCTGAAGTGCTTGGTGTATTAGCTACTAGTTCAAATATCAGTATACGGTACAGGGTCTACCAATAGATTACTGCATATTAGATAACTTGAGTAATAAGAATTCACTGGGTTTGGGTAAATTCGTGCTGAAAAAGTCTGACACGATGATTTTGTGCACATTTTTGTGTGCGAAAGCTTACGTTCATGGTTTCACGATCAATGACTTTGATAACGTTCATGCTGAAACCCGCGTAAAAGAGGTATCGTCCCCCTCCTCCAATACGAGCAACGTATCCCTTAAGGAGGAAATGTGTAGGTGAAAATCGGAAAAACCAAAGTAGTAAAAAAGATTTGTTTTTCTATCTACAAAAGCAAGCCTGTGGGTAAATACTTTTTTAAAATAAGGCAAACTGCAAAAAGGTTAATTGTGCGTCAAGTTTACTGGAACGATTCGTATAAGCCGTGAAAGTTTTCAGGATAAGATAACTCGTCTGTTCAAGTCAGTTTCATTTGACTTTGTCCTTTGAAACAAATGTGGATGCAGATTGGGTTTAATCAGTTGTGCTTGTATCACATTAATCTGTTACGTTTGTGTTCCATCAGGCAGAATTATAGGGATATTTGGTGATGACCTTACTAATGTAGCCGTAAATAGAGTTCTGTGAATCCAAGAAATGGCGGATAGAGATAACCCCGCTTGTGCGACGAATGTCCTAACTTGTTTGATAAGGTGTACATCTGGTGCAATAGGAAACGGTGTCCTCTAGTTTCGACGTATCTTTTGTTCTCGACTGGTATTTATGAGGCATGCCCATTGAAACCAGGGTTATGGTCCGTCAGAAGCAGCTTTTGGTACGGAATAAAGGATTCGATATTTCTGATAAACATCGTATTTTCAATAAATTGAAAATGTCATCAGTAGCATCGTTTTGTATCTCGGTGGCTTTACGCATTTCCAAATGTCAGTTACCAAGTCAAAATGGAATTTTGATGTTCGCGAACATTATTGAAAACCGATTTAAATAAACTGTCGTCATGTATGTTTTGCTAGCCCTGACAGCGAATGGCGAAAGGCTCCGATTCTGTACTTGATAGACTTCATGCTTTAATGCGTTAAAATTTGCCCCAATACAATAGCACTGTGCGTTTATTCGTCGTGCGTAATATTTGTCGTGCTCACCAGGTGGCATGTCGTTGATTTGTGGGCCATTAAATTATCGCCACCTCTCACACAATGAGGATTTTAGAAGATTTCAACCGTTTAACCAATTAGAAAGTTTGTACTTTAACAGATTTATTTTTGATTCTTCTTTAAAAGCCCTATAGGCATCGGCAAAACTTAAGGAGCAAGATTTTCGAAATTGTTTTTGATAATTTTAGTAGTACAGTAGCATTCGAAGTGATTCTGTTCCGACTATAAAATTTACAAACAACTTAATGCATTCTTTCACGACCTTCAAAACAGCACAGAACCCCAACGCCTAGAGCGTTATCAAAAATCCATGTACCAGAGTTTAATATAAATTGTGCATTTTTAGGAAAGAGTTAAAACGTGGAATTGGAAAAAATTAAATATTTCTGCCCCATTCTCTCGGTAATGTCTTAGAAAATTGCATAGTGTAGTGTTTTAACGACATTAAATCAACGTTGTGAAGCGAATAATCAAGAGCTCAAATATAAAACTGCAAAACTATTCAAGTTAGAATTGATAACTCCAATCTATGTTACATAGCTTTCGTGTAATCAAACAATGAATTCTAAATCCCACTTAAGCTGTAAAATAATAATTAAAACTTAATTACCTGCGTCGTAGAGTCAGAGCCTTCAAGTGATACCTCATTTACTGGCTTGCTATAATTTTGAAGAAATTTTCGCTTCGCGGCAGGCGACTTCCCAGTGAGACAAAAGTCAGCAAATTTCCACATCTTTGAAAAGTGAGTAAAACAAAGAAAATGATACTTTTAGCATCACTCCACTTCGAGACCACGACGATGTAAGAATGACATTCTGGACGAAATCAATATCCAAACCATCTGATCCTACTACATGTGGGCCATAATAATGCCTGCAATCGTGATTTTGTATTTAGATCAAACCAAAGAGATGCTGTTTGCCTATCATCCCATATCTGGATAGTTTGGTCCCAACTTGCAGAAACAAAAACGTGACTGTACACTGGATCAGTTTCACCTCTTGGATGATAGACCAAAGCTGAAATGCGGCTACTGTGATGAGTGTACTCCTTCTTTAAGTAAGTTCGTGATCTTTAGGTACGTCTGTGATTCAATGTTCGAGACCTTACCCCGATTTTAAGTCCAGAAGACGTAATTTAGTCGTCATATCATAAACCTTAATGATGGTATCAGTTCCACCCGTTACAAAACGAGATGAGTCAGTTGAAAGTGATAGACACAATAATTCGTTGGGAACGACCACATTTTCCTTTACTTGGTTAAAGTCGCAAGGTAAAGCACTTTCAAAAATCTCAAAAAGCATCGTGGAATGGGGGGCACCATCGAAGCAATCCCACAGCCTAATATAACCAGACGAATCTACTTTCTTTAAAAAGGTTTACTGATTTACAAACAGCAAGAAGCCTCGGTTTAGGTTTCGAAAATAGTGTCTTCGAGGAGTTGACAAACTCCAAAGCATTGCAAGGCAACCTTTCCTTAGGAGATCGAAGAGAAATATTGCACTCTGCATTTACTTTTTTATCAAAAAAGAATACCTAGGAAAATATGACCAATTTAATTTCTACTCTGATAACTCCGTTTGATAAGCCCGCAGCAAAAGCTGATCGATCTGGAGATATTTTAACAGTTAATGCCTCCTCATCGACAACCCTTAAAATGCTTGCTAACTAATATATTTTACATCTGAGATTCTATTTTAAGACTGGTTGCTGCGCTTTGGGATTCCTCAATAGACTTTTGCCTCATCATTGTCCTTTGCATAACAGAATCACGACGCATGCTCGGCCTAATTTCGTTAGACACATTCACGTCACCATCGATATCATCTGAGAATGAATCACCAGAATAAGAAGACAACTCCGATAACTCGTCACTATACATGACCGTCGCTATGCAATTAAACTTCCGCCACAAAACACACTTCAAGCCATCAAGGTACCTCAGGTTGCTTTATTGGCATTAGGTCAGATTCATAATCAGATATTTTTAAATCTTACTTGTTTCGAGCAAGTTAAAAAGTCAATTGCATTTAATCTGAAAGTGAGCACCACAGGGAGTTTCGGAATTATCTCAATACCCTTAAAATTCTTTTTCAATAAATGTATTGTGAATTATAAGTAAAATCAAGCTCACTTGAGTAAAACAAGATTATTTAACAAAAGAACAGAATCCTCCCTTAGAATAAGTCTGGAGACTTCCAGTGGTCTTAATTGGTAACCATCTGGACCATTACATTCAAAATAATTTCTGGAAATCAAAAGCATGTCCTATTTTCTTTTTAATTATATGGGATGCATAGCTGTTTAATTTTTTGCCGGTGAGGGTATTAATTAAAAATTACTTGTAATAAATTAACTGTAATGCTGCAAACGGATGCTAAATGCAATGTTAGTATTTGTATTAAGTTATGAAAAATACCAATAATTTAATCGATATTTCATATCCAAACGATTGTTATGCCTTTCCTTTTTAAATTGCGTTGTAAATTTACATGTAGTAAATATGCTGCGCACAGCCAAGATTTTCTGTCCAGTATTCATTTAAACAAAATAAATGTTTAATTTTCCCCACACTCATAAAGCACGTATAATGGTTTTGTCGTAAGATCTATTATGTAGCTATGACTATATAATTAGCAAAATTTTTATTTGCGAAGAAAAAAACAGGTTATAAGAAAAGCTACCCCAAAAGCCAACAGGTCTTTTTCATCAATAGTCGTTCCAAGTGCAATAATAATATCTGTTACGTCGATGGACTTTTTTGCACATTCATGCAATCGAGTCGCAGTGTCGCTGTAGAAGCACGGACGTCACTGCAAATCGGGTCAATTCTCCTTAAAACTCTGATAAATATTCAACACAAATTGCACCAGAGATAGTCTTGGATAAACTTTTTCAATGTAATCTGTTGATGGTTGAACGCGAAATAATAATAATAATATGCAGGCAGTATAATGATAAAAACACCAACCGTGTCAGCCTGTAGATGCATATGCTTAAGGAATATTTTGATGTCCTGTATTGGGTGACTTATCGCGTGACATTACAAATTTCTTTGTGTATGATGGTATTTGACGAATAAGCAGATGTAAAGTGTCTAGTTCTTGATGCCTTCTATTGCCAAAGATTAAATTTTGCAGCTGCAAAAATGCTGTGTTTTGCAACAACATATAAATTGGTCAGGTTAAAGGAAGATTTCGTTATAATGAAGTGCATTTTGTGAGAACTAGCAAATAGTAATGAATAGTGATATAAATTATTGAGTTACAATGTTTAGTTGTAATTCTATCGCTTGTCAAACTCTTAAACAATTTATTGTCAATTATGTTTAAATAATTCTAAACGAATTAGGGATAGCATTTTTTTGATTAAAAAAATGCGAGACCGTGAAGAGAACTGAATTACAGGATAAATTACATTATGTTACTTAGGCAAGTGAGTCTGTTCGTTTTAGAATTTCGGCATAATGTATATTTATTGTCCACTTATGCTAATATTATCAAAACAAATTTTAACTTTCGGATTTATTGGAAAATAAGTTACTGTTGAAACGAACTACTTAAATGTGCCAAAAATCACTTAGTGGATCGACATTGCATTAGCTAATGGATTTATTAAGTGAAGATGAGGTTCATTGAGAATCTTGTTAGTGTAGTTTCAAAAATCTGTTGAGTGCTTTTTACCTTGTCGAAAAACTTAATTTCGTTGAATAGAAGTTGCTTGACACTATATTTCTGTCCAAAATGTACACGAAAATCAGTGGAAAATTTCCCAATTCATGTTTAGTAAAACCGAGATGACCTTGCTGATTTCTTAAATTTACACGTAAACACATTCCAGCCCTCTTCCAATGGACGGAAGGTTGTGGATTCAGCTTGTTAATCTGCAGCCAATCAATCTATACAAAGCTCTTAAAGCTGTACTAATCGAAAAATATGTTGGACTAGAAATCGCTGTCAAGTCCGCAGACCAATTAAAAACAATTCAATTATCTTTAAACAAACTCGGTACAGGTGAAGATTGGTTACTTCAGGATAGCCCTTTGCCCCTTAATGTAGCTATTCTGGTATGTTCGACTACTTATGTTCATTAAAGTCCCCTATATCTGCAATATTAAACGATGCTAAGTTCAGGTCACTTAGAATTCCTGTTTTTCCGAAGACATTTGTTGTTTTGAGCAAGATTATTCTCGTCGACCTAGAAGTGCGTTTGTAATCCAAAATATTCTTTAAGGTTTGCCAGAAGGATAAGGATTTTCGCATGGCAAACTGCTGGGATGTAAGTTAGCTTTTAATTTTTTTATATTTTAATGTAAACAGTGGTATTTATCTCATTTGTCGCAGGTTAGCAATGATCTTGGTACGTATCATAAATTAGCAGACTTAATCTACGTGATGTTAGGCCTTTAGTGCTTTTTGCATAAGATCTTTTTTTGTAAATTTTGATGGAGTTTTGGTTTATCTATGCGACTTTTTAGAATTATATTTTGGTAAATTGCAGTTGCTTGTTGATTTGATTTTCATTTTCAAATCGCAATCAATATTGCTGTGTACTTTTTAAGTTCTAGATGTGAATGCCATTCCCTAAAGTCGACAGCTTTCATATATCGCCCATCGTAAAATATCCTAAGTTTTTTATTTTAGCAGTAGACAATAATACTCAAAAAAAACAAAATGACTAATCAATACATGAATATAGTTCAAGGTTACAATAATATTAAGCCATGTAAATGTTCCCTAATAATACCTATTATAACGTGGATTTATTTACTACAGGCAGTGGATCAGTGGTTTCATCAAAGTGAATTCACTCAAATCGGTCTGGCAAATTGCTCAAGACAGCAACTTTATTACGTCCTCAGTCAAACGAAAACACAAATCAACTACCTTCAAATTGAAATGTCTGTTTATTACCCGAATGCTGCAATTTTAGCTTTATCGCGAAAGGCTACACACATCACGATTGCAGTAAACCTTTTTGGTTTATTTTCGCCAACATTGTATGTTTTGAGTGCCCACAGCTTTGAGCAACAAGTTAATTGTTTTACCCAACAGATTAAAAATTTTGATTTATATTTATCTTTCTTGCCCAGTGCAAATGCTAAAGGTAGTTTGCTGACACATTTATGCAAAAAATAACTATCATGAGACTGAAATTATAGCTGCGCCTTAAACCTTCTGGGTATCCACCAAAACAACAAGCAAATAAATTCAGTTATAGAATTGCTTTACTTGTAAACACGTAAAACATGGGGCCAAAAGTGACTTGCAATATAATGAACAAACCCATATGCTGGGTGCCTATTTTCACCTCTAAGGTAAGCAACCCAAAAATGAATGCAGCAAACATTTTCAATGATAATGGGTTTAGTTTCATGGAACTTTATTCAACTAGGATAATCGGCTATTATACATTATATACCAAGATATGAAGAAGCTTTAAATAATTCTGCTTACTAGTGTCACTAATTTACCTGTTTTTTTATTTTCTAGGGACCCAGCTTGCATTATGCCTATCGAAGAGAAAATTGTAAAGAAAATTGCCTCACAATATCAAAAGTCACCTGGACAAATACTGGTTAAGCATGCTCTACAATTGGGTCTCTGTCCACTTATTAAAAGCAACTGTATCACGAGAATTCGGGCGTATGCAGAAGTAAGTATTAATGAGTTAACCCAATTCAAGAGCATATTACAAGTGGAGGGATCCGTTCCAGGCCACATTTTATTGGTGTCTATATAAGGTTTGGTAAATTTATGAGTGTTCAACAAATTTATATTGAAATTGTCTTGGAAATCCAATTAGTTGAGATAACCTTAACCTCATTAGGATTTAAATGTTTACTTCTTCTGTTTTAAGGTTGATGATTTTGAATTGACTGCAGAAGAAATGCATACACTGAACACAGCTCTGGTCAAACACAGGTGATATTTGAAGGAATCACCCAAAAATTAAACATTCCGCCATTTAGAATTTTTAATGAAACCACCTACTTTACTCCTAATACTTCGTGTAATACCGTAGGCTTTGTATTTTTTATTAAGAGTGCAAAATACTTTGAATATTTGAATTTTTGCTTGAGTGAAATCATCACAGAGGTATTAATCTTTTTATAAGTTATTAAAGTTTAGTCAAGAGCTGATCTTAAACAGCCTATTTTAAGTTTTAAAGTTTATAAGAGGTCTACATTAAAAAAGGATCTCCTTAATGCTTACTCAGCTTAGACTCACAGAAGCAGAAACCATTAACTAAAGCAATAGGCTCCAGCTGTGAAGTTGCAAAAGATGTTTTGTACAATGCTATTTTCTATTTTGATCACAGGTAAAACAGTATCCACTGCAGCCTGAATATAATGATGTGCATCCGAGGATAACGCTAGCTAAGAATGTGAGAAAATGCAGAGATTTAAACGGTTATGACAATGGTTCGACGTTGGACATTGTCATGTTATAATTGGATAGAAATTGGAAAAAGAATTTTTCGATTATGCTTTAAGTACGCTTTTCAAAAAATTTAACATCTTAATGCTAAACACGTAAAAAAATTAAGAGATATGTATAAAAATTTAGGACGCTTCCTAATGTTTCAGTCTAATGTTGAGGGTGCGATATAAACCGTGACTTTCATGACAAGAAGAACAAAACGAAGGAATCTGTGGCTATTTATTCATGAAGTTTTGACTGAAATATGAAAGTTGGGGCATAAATTATATCAACGGGTAAGGGTTTCGAGATGAGCCATGAAGTGAAAACCATGCAGGACAAAAAATCTTAGTACGAACTAACGCAAACATGAAGACTTTCTGTAAATTTAGTGATTCATACAAATAACACGCTGATATGTCATGTAAGAATGCTTTGGGCAGCGACCAAGATAGACTGACTATGAAGTTTTTAATTTTGGCAAAGGTCATTCATGAGATGAATTTGTGTGTTCATTAAAACATTTAACATCTGTTTTGTAAGTAGACGACAGTTTTATTAAAATGTAGCTATACAACCGAAGTTAATATCAACAGCAAACTATTAAACTATTGCATTTACGGTACTAGAATAGTGAAAATGGTAAATGTGCCTTGGAATGGGGACAGCATAGCAAAAAGCACTGTAAAATGGATTTACACAATGAAGCCCTAGATTCTGAGCAATAAAATTGTTTACTGACTGGTTATTTTGACACAAATTATACTGGTGCTTAATTATGACGCTGTAATCATGACCTTCTCTATACAAATTTTAATCAAATTGGCAACTTCTATTAACCAACTACTCAAGACGTTTTTGGTATTTATATAGAAAAAATTAATCCAGTCTACGTATCATCCTTATCAATCAAAATCGAACTGCATTTGGTTTGTTCAGGGAGTTTTTATGTTTACAATCTCAAATATCTCAAGGGATCTTTCAAAAGCTAACATTAAAGACATCGTGGACTGATAATCATAGTTAACTGGCCATCTGTTGCACACACTTAAGATCATTTCTCTGCTAAGTACTTAGTTTTACCACACAATGACTGCTTTATTCGAAAAACTCGACGGTTCTAGGTTTCTGGTAAGATGTTTGGTTAAAATCATCAATGTCTTCTCGAACGTAGCAAAAATCTCTGATGTTGTATGTTAGCTTCTAGATAGGTATCCAGTATGAAGAATGAGCTTATCAAATAACTGAAAATTGGATCACAATAAAACCCATTTATTTGAGATCATAAAAGCCTTGCGAACATCGAAAATCCGCTTCTGTTTTTCAATGCACAAGTCCAGACTACAAAAATGTTAAATCACTCTATTCAGCACACTTTAAATAGAGTATATCTAACGTGTCTGCAGCAAACAAATGAATTTAACAACTTATTTTTTCACCGGTGCATCAAAGTCTAGGCATAACATGTTAACAAAAAGGACAGTCAAGTGAATAGGCTTTCGCACTACTGGATAATTATCACTCAAAGGCCAAATTTTGTTTATTTAGGCGAAGCAGAGGTCTCACACAATTAGACTCATTTATTATGTTTACTAAAACTCAGAGAAACGCGAAGTTAAATTTTATTACAAAATCCCATTTAGTGAAATTTATTTTAGCGCTTTCCCTTCGATAGGTCCTTTGAGATAAAAAATCCATTCAATCCTTTTCGATGAAGCGACAGTAGATTGGGCAGGTTCATCAGGATTTCTTTCGCAATAAACGACCAGTTTCCCGAACACACCAGTCTGGTATTCTTTGCACTTCAGTGTAACGGCCAATCTCAATTCTTTGTGTGGTTTGACAATTTTCGATGTGCAGTCAACATGAAAATCAGCATTGTCAACCTAAGTGTAGATAACAGATATGGTTTAAAAGGGCGCATTTTGCTGGCTTGGTAAACTACTTCCTTCTCTTACCTCGTTTCCGTTCCGATCATTAGCTAGGAACTGTTTCTTTTAAAACTCGTTTATGTCCTGCAATTATCACGTCTACTTGCGGATATATTTATGCCTGAATTTAACTCCATATTTGTCTATTGGGTAAGGTCAAAGCTAAGAGAAGTTGATGGTTAAGCTTCTTAGTTAAGTATCTGTGCATTAGATACCTGAGATTATCGTACAAATTATATCTTCTCATTCCGCAGTGTTCACAACTCGCTAAAGTGCACAGCTTATAAAACATTTTTTATTAACCAGCTCATTCAATCCAATTTTGCATTAACTTAGTCGTTTCCAACCTTTTACTTACAGTATTTATAGACAGTCTTGTCTACCAAATCGTTAAGTAAAAAACGTCTTAATAAGAAAAACAAAAAAATCAGCTGCTGATGAAAATGCAACTTAATTGAATTTGAAATCACCTGCACGAAGAACTCCACGGGTTCGAAGAACACATTTTTGACGGTCAAAATGGTCGATTTCATCGTTGAAAGGACGAATGGACCCTGGGGTGACGGTGGTTCAACAACTCCCTGAAGTGGGAATATGTAACTTCCCGCCTGGCTGCTTGAAAGCCGCAATAAGGCCTCAAAAATGCCCAATTTGTGTGGTTCAAATGTAACAGGAAGCTCTGTCGAAGAACCAGCAGCCACAAAAAGCAACTTATCACAGCGAAAAGCAGGGTCATTGATCTACAAAACCAAGTGTGCAACATTTTACATCCTTACTCTTCACTTAAAACTTAAGACGATACCTACCTTGCAAGTAAATTCGGCCCTGTTTCGACTCAAATTAGAAACCGTAACCATGGCGGTGTCCGTAAGTCCAAGGGTTGTTTTAAGTTTAACGGGTTGTTCTGGTATTGGATCGACAGCTTCTAGCTGCAGGTCATAAACGCTGAGACCTAATTCAGGATTGAAGACCTCAAGGCAACCGTTGAATTTCCCAACTTGGTAGGGTTTGAATTCAAGAGTTACAGTGCTCTAAAAGAAAATATATCGGTTGCACGCCAGATTTCCTTTAGTTTTAACGATAACCAGTTTTTAAGAGCCATTAAAGGTTATGATCTACTTAAGTGGCAATTTGCAATATGGCATTCAACATGATGAATGTGTTTGCAAATATTTGGACGTTAGTACTAGTGGTATTCTCCCAAATACTGGCTCTTTAGTAAATTTAAAATAAATCTTTGAAGCTGCACTTTCTTCGCAATGGATTTTAAACTTAGCTTAATGTTTAATTTTATAAGCTCCTCGAAATTGGTTAACAATTATACCTTAGACAACGCTGGCAATTTGAATTGTGGTGGGCAAATCAATTCCGGCAGTGTTGAATTAAGTGAGACAGTCACGTCGTCCTTCAGATGGTTGTCCAGTTTTAACTGATATCCCATCGGCTTTCGTACAGCCGTTTTCAGTTTGATTAAGCCTTGAGATTTTGTTCTGACAGAGCAAAACTGGTACTCTGCAAACTGGTATTCCCCGGTTTCTTGATTTGTGAATGTAATCTGAAATTGATGTTTCGAATTCATTCGTCAAAATGCTTCTGATTTACTGCCTTTTTTAATCAACAATGCTGTTTTAATTGCAGCATTTCAATTGGGACATAGGATTATGTGCTACGAAATCGTTCAACCCAGCAGAAACCGCTGTTTCTATTAATGGTTCGATTTCAAAGTTTGAGCTAACACAATTCCCCTGGATCGCATTGCTTATTTGAATATGCTAATTTTTAAAAGTTAACGCACAACAATGATCTATCGCCAATACACTGACAAGATGCTCTGTTCACCTAGGTAATTAGGTTGTAAATAAGCCAAAATCAACCGCGTAGACATGGAAATTGATGATTATTCGAATAATTCATCAGTTTAATGAAAAATCTAATGTATTTTGTTCTACCTTAAAGGACGCGGTTTTCTCCTTCTGGGCCATACAAATTAGTGTATATTTCCTTTCTTTTCCACCTGGTACGTCAAGGAATTTGGGACCGGAAACTATGAAGTTGGTAGCATCTGTGATCTTCCAGTTGACTTGAAATCTCTGAACCCACGGTAACCAGTTGGGCACATCGATAGAGTGTTGATAGTTTGTCCTGCAGGGGATTTCCACCGTTGTCCTTGGGCACATTGCGTTTGGTTCTCCCGATTTTCCCTCTAGACAATACTTGCAACCTTTCCCGTTCGGAAAGTTAAAAACAACTGAGCCCTACAATATGATTTGGTCCACACTAGAATTACATTTTAAAATTGCAATCGTGGGAAAACTGACACTCTCAAGTATCTATTATGAACGATTTGTAAGCAATTGAGCCACAAAACAGCATTTATTTTTCAGCATAAAACTTTTTTGCGCATAAGTGAAAATGTACGTTAACAGTGGATTCCATTCGTATTTAGGTTATAAAATTAGCAACTGCTTCGCTGGTTTTAATAAACCCAGACGTTTTCTGCAGTCCCTTGCTTTGGTAACACCATTTTATCGTCGCAGCATACCTAAGACACAAATAAGTGGCGCATTTGGTTGAGATTGCAAAAACCCTCCACAGGAAGTCCTATCTTTGTCCTGCCATTGAGAAGGTGACGCTTACGTCAGACAAGAAGTTGGCGTGCTGGTTTTCTAAAGGCCTTTTTGGTTACTGATATGACGTGAAAATATAAAGAATAAAAATGGCTGTGAAATACGTTTGGAAAAGTCCTTTTGGTCACTTGTGGCTATTAGGTAGAATTCAACACCGACACGCAACGTCTCAGTCAGTGAGCCGTCAGTTAATGGTACCATAAAAGCATTACAGTTTGACTTTGATCTGTTCTGCAAATATCTCGCGTCAACATCTACTTCATAAACATGGACTGACAAAACATTAACAACACTTCCAAACTAAATGCTACTGCATTTTGGAGTTTTATAAGTTTAACAGTTATAGTGCTACATTTATATCATAAACCTCCACTTTGTTAACACCCACCGTCCCACATAACTAGAAAAATGGGGGAGGGAACTGTGAATATGCGTAGGAGTACCCATTTTTGTCAGAAAACACTGGGCTTTGTTAAATAACCATTTCCTAAGCTAATCCAAGAGTACGAGGCATTTTATTACCTTCAATGCGGAAGGTGGGCACTTAACTGCAATAAACAACAGGTCCTAACTAGTTGACAATAAATAGAAGTACTTTAAATAACCTGATATTTTAAAGGCATTTTCTGTTTATTCCCATAAAATCGTCTAAATTTAGATGACTTAGTTTGAATTCAAGTTAAAACAATTCAAGGCACTTGTTAAAAGAATGCTATGTTGTGAATTTAACTCTAGTGATCTATTGCGGATGGCCATTAAGTATAGTTTGACACCTTTTAACAGTGTTGTTTTTCTTAAGCTTTCACAATTTAGTTTCCATGCAGTGAAATCTACTGACAGCGCGTTTCAGGTAAAATGGGAGCAGGTAGCTGCCACTAAACATGATTATTCTTGACCGAAAAATGGTGTGCTGTTAGGTGAAGTATTAATTGTGTGGGAAAAAATGTGTGTATATGGAAAACAAATAACATTTTACATATTAGAGGTAGTATGTACATTCACTGGAATGCAGATGTATACAAACTATTGTTTCTTGTTCAAAAACCAGCATTGTGATAAACCTGTTCCGGAAATTGGTCATTTAAGTTTTAAAGCAGGCAAAAATTTCAGTTCTATATAGTAGAACAAGTAGAACCACCTTGTTTTAATGAAGAAAATTTAATTATTGAACCTAAAACCCAGTATTTTCTTCTTAGACATCCTCGTATGTCTTTGAAGTTTACTGTTGAGGATCCACGATACCTCAAGATTGCTCATCATTGATTTTTGGCACTATTGACACTAATTCCCTAAAATGTGTTTTATTACGCTTTTTATCAGGCCAAGGTTAACCTGGACTTAAAGTAGTTTCACTTTTGACAACGTACTCGCACGTGGCTGACGTGATTAAAGCTCTCTACATGAGCTCTGGTCTTGTTCTTGCATTAGAGTGGGAAGGTGGGTTCTAGCGTAGACAAGGATTTTGGTGCCGTTACTTGAGTGGCTTTCTCTTTGTTAAAGGCAAACGTAACATTTACATATTGTCCAGCATACCTGGTGAACATCGCTTCCTCGCGTCATAGTTAGTGGTTGGTATGTTAGAACGAAATTCGTAGACTTCTTAGGTTGCATTTCAATTAATTCTTTTCCACTCCACTCAGCGCCGCTGATGACAGGTTTGACAGTCCAGACGGCATTTGTAGGATTCCACAAGGTCAGATTTTTACTGTCCTTTTCTCGTACTGGGCACGAGAAGTATACTTTTTCCGTGATTTCTGTAGGTGCAGTACATAGTCCCACCACTGAAATCCTCAACGGCTTCGCTCCTTTTATGTTGCAGGAAATATTCTTAACAAAGAAGTTTAGTCTGTCAGCAAAACTTTCATTTCTTGTCCCCTTCATAAAAGTAATGGCATTCAACCCAAACGGTTAAATAAAATTTATATTTTCACTGTTTGGATTACCAGTCTGCTTTAATGCGAGCATTTTGCTGCCATAGTTGTAAAGACTTGCAACAAAACTTTGATAAATCTTCACATTATCTGATGTCAAGTAAGCAGATTTTCAATTGAAATGAAACCCTTTGTGCCAGATGTGTATTATTCTCAAGTATTTACAAACCACTACAATTTCAGTATAACGTATATTTCAGTTTTGTTTAGCCAAATTCAAGGTCGTATCTACAACTTAAAAACTCCTGACACCTCCATGGGCTTTGTACATAAACAAACATTCTCCACAAAATGATCGTCTGCATTAACTTAGTACTTGAATGCGTTAAAGGGCCTACACCAAGATTGACGTGGCCTTTTTTTAATAACTTATCGATAGCTGAGCCGACCTCTAATATCAAATCAACTCTAAAATCAAGTCAAATCAACTCTAAATTTGATTGCAGCAAATTCTTACTTCAAAACGAATTTCCTGATTAACGAGTCTAGGTGTCAGTGTGACTTTGAAGTGGGTTGAAGTATGCGCCCGAATCAAACCGGCTTTGGGTTCGATTCTCACGATATCTCCAGGCATTGTGATTTCATCCCAAGAAAACCTAAATTAAACATATTTTTTCCAAAAGGAAACTTTTTTACCTTGCTGACGCATTTCCATGATTTGAAACTGCAAATGTCTTGACTAAACAACTTCCAGCAACAACTGGGCCGAAGTTAATCACTGAAGACTCCAAACTAATGTTCACAGCACTGCATCTACCGTGTATAGTGAAAGCTGGGACCCACGCACACTTTTTTGTGCTATTTATTGTCGAAACTCCAATTAAAACCTCCTCCAAGAAGTCACTTATTGCTCGGCCTTGTGGGGTGAAGAAAATCTCAAGTTGAGTCAGTCCAACCTTTGGTGGAAGGTGAACAAATTCCAATCCTTTTCGTATCCGCTTTTCTAAATTTTTGTTCTTTGATAGCGGTGGGGGGGACACGAAATTCATACAAAGCACGCTCGACTCCAAATCCTTATTTGTTGCTGTATTTACGTGAACCTCATTCAACTCTTTTGATTTTGGTAATATTGACGCGCCTACAATTCTAATTGCGACTGGGCTTGTATTCTGTATTGTCACAATTCGACGGCTGCTTTCAGATGAATGAAGATAACCAAGATATACAGATTGTGAGTTGGGAGAATCCTTATCTTTAACTTTGATGGGAGGTTTGCTCATTCCGTTCCTTACTTGCGTTAACATCAGATTACCTGGACTCACTGTGAGGTTGATTTTCGTTCCCTCTCCACTAGCAAGCACTCTTACCTGTGCCTGTTCGTTTAGTAAAAACTTTAATTCCCCTCGGTAGGTTTTGCATGCTGAGGGAAAGAAGGTAACAAATGCCTTCGCAGCAGCCCCAGGCTCAATTATCTTGGAACTAAAGTTACACTCGAATTCAACTAAGGTAGATGATTCAAAAGCAACGTATATGGGCTTCTCCTGGTCTTTGTTTGTAATGATTAAGGGAAGGGTAGACACACCAAGCCCCTCATCCTGAACAAATTGATGGCCGAAATTTAAATGACCTGGTGAGAACTCTATAGTAGGCATTTTGGATTGTCCGCAAAGATTAAGGGCAAACGAAGGTCCATTTGGAATCGCCACAATCCCAAATACCATCGAATCAAGCAGTGGAACCTTAACCATGTTGCGAGGTTGGAAAGTAAATTGTAAGAGAGCTTCTCCCAGTGGTGGTATCTTTCCGGCATTCGGAGACACACTGAAAACAGTTGGCAGGCTGTCAGATTTTGAAAAGACTGCAGAAGCATAATCCAACTCGAATTCACCTTGATTTACTATCCTCAAATGTCTGGTACGTTCGCACCCCAAAAATACTTCTCCGAAATCAACGGTAACAATGTTTTCTCTGAGCGATGGAAATTCGGCTAATTTTCGACTAGCCAGAATGATAGCCTTAGATGAATCACTCGCAAGACAAGGAGCTATAGTTGCTTCAACTTCCAGGCATCCATCGTTATCTTCATTTAATAACCATGCTGTAGCGAAGCATTTAAGGCTCTCGACCTTGACATTCAAATGCAGAGGTCTTTGACGATTTTCTACTTTGCACAAAACATTAAAGTTGCACCGTCTGTCTTCAGTTGGACGAAACTTCACACGGATTGGATATCTTAAAGAAAAAAAGTTCTATCTAAAACGTGGGGACGTTAAATAAATATAATGGGTCATGGTAAACCATCTGAAGCAAATTTTTAGGTTCTCACATTTTGCAGAGTGGGCTGGTTTAAGAAAAGATTTTACCCGAAAAGGCATTTTAGACCTAGTCATCTTGCGGTTTCGCATACAGAATTAACTTTTCAGTTCAAGAAAATTGCATTTTTTGAATACTGCATCTGGAACGACTGATTTCTCAATTGGCAAATTCGAAGTTGAAAATTACCACCGCTAGCTCTCAGTCTTCAGCTTATCACTATAATTCTACCAATGGCTTTGCCGAATAAGTAAGATATATGGACCCGTTTAGTTAGACATTTTTTTCAGATTTTAAAATGCATTGGTATAATGTCCAGCTAGGAAAACATGCAGAATACACTGCCCGACCTTGACCCATTACCACACGTGACCACGACGGAAGACAAACCCCTGACCATCCGATGTTTACTCGAGTTTATTCATAGATCTTAACTGAGGTTCTTATTAAGTGAGTTTTCAAGTAACTCTTTCACCGGATCGCACGATTCTGCAAACTTTCATCTGACCAGAACTAGTCACTTTACAAAGCAAGCATTTTTGCCGTCAGTAATCCGCAAATTTTCAGAGTAATAACACTTCAACACATTTCGTTGATCCCATCTTCACTGTGGCATCCTGTGGCACAGTTAACCTCAAAACATCTTCACAGTCACTCATTTTTATGTATTTCTCGACACAGCTGAAATTGTCATTGCATGACCCACACTATGATCGATTACTTCAGTGAGCGACCTGATAACTCAACTAAAATTGGTCTAATCGAAAATAAGTAAGCTAATCAGTAGACTAACTTCAACAGCATAACTATCAACTATGTTCTGAAGTACCACATATTTAAATCATACTGACTCAAAAAGGGAATTGGGCATTAATTTCGGTCTGAACATCAGCACCACCTCACACCATTAAATGACGATGCGGTACATTAATGGTAAAACGTTCTGACAAATAGGGAATTCTTGGGTTTAATAAGCAAGAGACTTCAAACTTACTTTCCCGTAGGTAGCAGAGTGCCTTTTATCGGCGAAATTAATAATTTATCAACACTTTCATTACAACCAAAACTCCCATCTTCAAATTTGAATTCCAGCGGCATCTCTTCGGCATTTACGATATAAAGATGCGCCTCAACCGATTGTCCTAGTGGAACCTTTTCAAGGGAAACGTGACCCCGGTCAAATGCAACGATGGGGTCGCGTGTTCTAGCCACAACGACCAACGGAATACGATAAGACTGCATTTCCAAAGTTAAATATGCTTCTTTTGCATCTCGTGTCAGGCCCATAAGCGATAGATCTATCTAGAATATCAGAAAAATAAATACAAAATTTAAGATATAAGTGCTGTTGAACAACCTAGTTTGCTTCAGCGTCTAAATCAGGTTAACGAGCTAACTTATTTAGGATTGAATTGGTATTTGTAAAGCAAACTTGATAAGATTACGCATTGATATACTCTCCTTCAAAACAAACTGTGACCAAATTTATTTAAAAAAACTCACTCTTGAAGACTTCCCTGGTTTCAGTGGTGTCTCACAAATAAGATATTCTAGTTCAAATTCTGTTATATTGACTTGCCGCATTTTTAATTCAAGCACTTCCTCACTTGTGTTCATTACTTCGAACGATCTGAAATCACGATTATGGTTATGGTTATAATATGGCAGATACTTGGTCTGCAATAATCAATGAAAGAATAAAAGCATCCTCAGAGGGTAACTTATGTGTCTACCGCTTAAGATGCTACAACAATTTTAAAGATACTTATGGTAGGGTCCATCAGGTCGTCATGGTTTCAATAAGGAGACAGGAAGTAAGCGCAAACGACTATTTCTTTAAGTGCTTCCGGTTAATTGAGGATAATAGATATGGCTACTAACCTGGTAACTTTTCTGCCATTTCCGGTGGCCACAATTTCAAGTACCTGCGCACTGTGCCAAAACGGGTCACACTGAGGATTCTTAGGTTGGTAGTCAGATTTCGGAAGTGCTAGTTTGATTGGTTTAACAAAAGCCTTGCCGATTACGGTAATAGACTTTTGAGGGTCACAAGTTTCCGTTGTATTGGGCACGAGCAAGTTAAAAACACTGTCAAAGGTGCCGGGTTTTGTTGGACAGAACACAAACTAAAGTGACAAAGAATGTTAAAATTTAAGAGAAACGAGTACATGGAACTAATGTAGTGTTGAGATCATAGATTAAGGCTCCGTCAGTAGTTTCAGTAACACTTTTTATCGAAGGTCTCTCATTAGGTTTCGCTTAAATTTTGTGGCATTTTTGACATTGTCAGAGCACAATTATATATCGGTCAAACTTATTACTCAATAATAGGTTTTTGGAACTACCAATAAAATTAACGTACCTTTAGGGGCAAACTTTGTCCTGGCAGGATCAAACACTCAGAAGGCTCAGCTTCAAACGGTTGGTCATAGCTTGCGGTTGCAAAGGTAAAGGTCATTGTGACTAATCCCGTGTTCCGAATTTGTAGCCTTAGCAATACAAGTGTTGTTAGAAGTAAGAAAATAAATCATTACGTCTGTACTGATTTGCCCCATATAGCTGTATCAGGAAACTTAATCGACGTCTTCTCAAGTTCGTATTCAACAAAATCGCAGACGGCTGTAAAAAGAAGTTCGAGGAATAGTGCGCCATTGCTCATCTCGTCATCTGTGACAAAAAACTCCTCTTTCTGAGGTGACTTTGGATTGAGAGGCTCACGAGCTGACTTAGATCCCGTACCACTCGCATCCCGTAAATTATTTGATCGCGCTGATTTCGTTTTTCGCAAACTCTGTTGGGTTAACGGAGTTTGATTCTGGGGTGGTTCGTAACTTCGAGCACTACTGACAAATGAAAGGTAGTCATTATCAATTCAATTTTAAGCGATTTCTTACCCCAGTGCTAGTTCATCGTAGCCAAAGCCTTGATTCTTCTGGGAAATATTCTACAATAAAATAAGATTTAATTTCAAGTCTAAAATAAAAAAAAACTTGATTAAAACTTTGTCCTCGAAACATTTAATTCCACAGTTTCTGCTACTGTAATTATGATGATTCACAGTGATCGGTTTTTAACCGTGGAAGAAACAGGAGGTAATTTGCCTTATTTTTAGGAATAACATGCCCATTACCTTGTTTTCTGACCAATCGATAATTTAACCAAGCCGCTTTACTTTAACGCGTATCCAGATATGTATCATCGCACAATTTCTGTAAAGGCTATTGTGCCAACTTACGTCGGAAGATTCGAAGTTAGGGGCTTCAGTGAGTTGACATCTCACGGGAAAAAATCGGTATTTGACAGGCTGGTCACTATGGAAATATACACAAATCCTGAGGCTAGTGTGCGGGCGCAACTCTCCACTTGGTGGTTCAAATCTTAGACTTGGATGGTCGTGTGGCCAGGCAAAGTTAAAAGAGGGGGAGCTATCCACTATGGAAGTGGCAAGAGAAATTTCAGAACGCTCCCCATTTATATCTGGATAGCGCAGAACGAAATGACTGCTGAGCGTGCATCCAACGTAGCAGTCGCCGAAGTTCAAGTGATTTTGAAGGATTTCTGAAAATGAAAAGGCATTCTACCTCTTATGCAGTATGATCCTTGGTACTATATGGAGCTAGTGCATTTTTATGATCAATTATCAGTTGCACAAATGTGCATTGATCTCTGCTCTGTATGCCGCTTCATCACTCTCCAAGATGACTCATAGCAGCCGTCCATCTTAAGTTCCTAAGAATATAAATGAACCACAAGGATATGGTACCACAATTTTGCTCTTTTTTATTGCTTCAAATGCTCAAAAATTTACTAGGGCTGTTTAAAGTCACCTATAAAAAAATCAAGTTCCTTATCTTAAATATTAAGAGACCCAAGGTGGCATACCAGCTGTCGACATGCGCTAACTGTAGTGGGTATATATTTGAAGTTTGACCAAAGATTGAAAAGCCAAATGGAGTTGCTGCGACTCGTGTTTACTCACACCCCTTAACCCGGTCGCTCCACCTCCGACACAGGATTCCCCTTTCGCAGAATGTTGCCAGCCACGCGGATCTTCAATTCCCACCTCATTCACACGAATATTTATCTTGAATTATCCTCACACCAAGGTCTCGATGTTAGCGCATGTATGACTCACACACCCGGGGTATAAATACACACACACGAACCCCATATATGACATAACCACACCAACGTGGTTGAGCTCTGAAGTAAACGGTTGCGTCCACGTCCTCTCCGATCTTAATCTTCATAGCGGGTATCAGGAGAGCGCAATCAAGCCAGGGTTAATTCCATGGTCCCGGCGTGGTTCAAGACCACATGCTGGGGCCCTCAACAGCGTGGCTATACATTTGATATCATCTTAGAATTTCAAATTAACCCATCTAAAGCGAAGCATTTTTTGCCCACGAACAATTTCCGACACGGCTCTGTGTCAACGGATTCATCACACATTCTAACAAAATCATGACTCATCAAGTAGTTAATATAGAACTTTAGTTTAACTAGTTAAATAAACGTACGGACCTTCAACATCTCCACCTTGCAAATCTGACATCCAGGCAGGACCCAAACAACTTGGGGGAATTTCAGCGTTGAAGTAAGGATTCAGTGCTAGATGAAGGGCATCAGCTCGCACTTGATCCGATCTTGGTGTTTCGATGATCACGGGACCGTGTAGAACGCTGTTGGGAACCAGTCCATACAATTCTATGACTTCGCTCTCATATTTATTGCCTTCGGCAACTACCTTTAGGTGGGCAAACAAGTGGTTTGTAACGTTGAAGCTTTCTGATCGGAAAAATATCCGAGCGTTTCGAGTCTCTCCAACATTTAGCCGAAATGAGTAGAATTTTCCCAGGCTGGTGGTCTCGATCGCTGAAAGACCAAACCGTTTTGATTTAAATAGAATATTTGCCTCTGTTAGTTTCATGTCTTTAGGGTTCGAACAGTGAGGTTACGTAACTAACCCTGAAAGAATTTTTTTTCACCCACTAACTTTAGATGAGCCTTGCATAAAGCCAAAATACCATAACACATGTGGGACAGCAAACATTGTGATACTAATGAAAATTAACTGCTAGAAATTGATCAGCACTGTAAAAATACTTGGGGAAATTACAATCTTTGTCCACTTCAACTTCGAACGCGTTGGCTTCCGTACATGTTAGCTCTAACTTCACCTAAAATCGAGAATTATAAACAAAGAAGGTGGAAGACATAGGTATTATAAATAGGCATGCAATTTACCCGACATGCAATTTGTCCCGTGTTACGGACTTCCATAGTGCGCGAGTTCACTTGGGAGGAAAAGACTAAATAGGGATTTCCACGGTGGTTAATTGAAACTGGCGCGGTTATCGCAACACGTGGAATTTCGCCTTTGCCGCACAGTTTAAACCGCAGGGGCGGTGCGGCACCTTGACCCTCAAATTCGACCTCGAAATTCGCGGAGTAGGTCTAAACACAGAATACATGTTTAAACAATACTTGCCACTTTTGTTTTGTGAGCACACACTTTTAACTGACCAGCAGAGATTTCGGAGTAAATTGGCACTGAACCCAAACAGAACGATAAGGCTCAATTAGAGATGCAGTGGGAATCACTTCAAAGGCCTCCACAATGCCCACGTCGGCTTGCTTCATTCTGGATGCGACGGCGTGCCGTTTATCTAAACGCTCTGCTTCAGTCGATCTCAGAAAAAAATTCGCGTCCACGGCAACTTTAGATGTGTTTGAAATTTTGAATGTCGCGAAGGTGGAGGTGCCTATTAAGGCATTTTCGAAAAGGAAACTATTTTCCTCTATAATAAATGCTCCACCAACAATCTAAAACAAAGGTAGAGCAGTTAGACGTCTTCGGCTTTAAAATTGCATCTGAAGACATACATCGTGGTTTTGGAGAAGCAGAAACTCATTTCGTGATTGCAAAATTCTGTGTTCTTCAAAAATCGATTCAAAATCTGAGACTTCGAGGGTCGGTTTGCATGCCTCCACTGAGAGCCGAAATGGCAGACGGGTTGTGCCTGAGCTGTCTTTTGGCCGATCCGATATTTGTATACATAGTTCCTACAAAGAACGTGAAAAAGGATTGATAAAATAAAGGCATTAAGAGAAGAACTATGTGCGTTGGTTAATAAGCTGAAGGTGCATTTTGAGCTGTGATTTAGGATATTTGTTTGACTGTTTAGTCGCATTCTTGAGACTTATGCATATGTGGTTTGTAATGCGCTCAGGTAGTGTGCAACTAACTATTCCGAGCACACCAGATCGTTTTGGTACTGATTTATAGGATCCAATGAATTGAGAACTGATTTATGCTCATGGTTTCTTATCGTTTAGCAAAACGCCCTTCCGTTATGCATACAATTAAATTTAATCAAAGTTGTTTACTCCTTTTTGTCCAGTGACACTTTGCCAGCTTTCTGGTAACTTCACTATTTCACACCCATGAAAAATTTAATTCATAAAACAAGTGCAATTTCGGGTCACCGGTAACAGATTTACCACTTTAGAGTTTAAAATAATTGGCTATGTGATGGTGCATGACCAGGTTCCTCTAATTGAGAGAAACTGCCATAACTTGCCACGAGTTACCAAAGATGTACAGGTTTTGCATTACCTTAGCGGAAGGCGATCCCTTGAATATCCGCCAATTCTGGTCTAGTTTCATTTGTTTTATTTCCGAGTTTGCTGCTTTTTGGTGGGAAATATCTAAATCAATCATTTTGTTTCCCTAGAATCAATCTATTTAAGTCCACTGAGTTGAGAACATCAGCACTTGATGCAAATCAGACTTCGATGGGATCGACTTTGGTTTATCACACTTGGACCATGACCTCCAGAGTTGATGAGTATCAAAAGTGGACGAGTTAATTGTGTTTTAGATGCATGGCGCACACAATATTTCCTTGTGCCATGTAGCATTTTCTCAAGTCATGTGGGACTAAAATATTTAGGTCATTTTGAATATTCAGCATTTTAGCCTGAATATTGGTGAGCTTAGTGTGGATGCACTTTAAAATGTGATCTATCAAACTTATTCTAATTATTGAGTTCTTAAAGAAATCAACAGCATTAACCCCAAATTTCTCGCTGTGAACCACATCAGCACATATTCTCTTTTGGAAATAGAAAACTTTTTTTAAGAAAAATTGGAAATTAAGAAAAAAATTGTCTGTTTTATCGATGATCTTAAGCGTTGGAAAAGTCTCCTTTTGAAAATAAATAAATTAGTAAGGAAACAATTGCTTGCATTCAGGTTATATATTCAACCATTAGTATATTAGTAATTACGACCAGCCAATGAAATTTCCACTAACCTCTTCGTATACTTTTGCAATGGCGCCAACGGAGCATTCAACGGAAATGGTCTGTTTACCTCCGACCGGAATGGTCCCACTGGCTGGAGAAATCGTAAACGGACTCAAAGTTACACGACTTGCGCCAGTCACGTCTGAGGGCCTAAAAGAAATTAAAGATTTTAAATGTGATATCTTCCGAAGAAGTCTGCTGCAACCCTACGCATGTTCACATCACCATTCTAATATGAAATGATTTCTTTCACTCCTACTTGAGTCGATCACCTGCTAAATCGCTGAAACATCCGAAATCGACTGCTCTGGAAAAGGGCAATTGAGACTCAGCCAGCGTCGTAAAGGTCGGGTAATTTTATATTCTCTCACTTAATGTGAAGTAGTTTTTTTTTTCAAAATCCATTATGGCCCTATTTTTCGAGGGTTTAAATAAAATTCAAGTGATGTCATGAGAGATGATATCAGAAAATGGAGGGGTAAGGTGATTAGTCGTCAATTCCTCAACTACCCTCGATCACGCGACCATTTTGTTGCTGAGCTTATTGAATTTCCCGATTTATGTCAGTGGTGTTCATCACAACGGTATAAATATTGGAAGTCGACATTTATATAGGGCAGTGGTTTTTTGATAAACTCTTCAAATGGAAACGAAAAGGAAAGTGTTCACTTACCCGGGTCCGCTTGAACGCTGTCTGAGGGAACTTCTCGCCGCTTTCGCAGACACCATTTCCTGCATTCGAACCGCCGAGAAAATGGCAAAACGCAGATCAAAAGCACCGCCATTTTCAATTGTTACCTGACCTGACGTTCTAGTGTTAACTGCAACTGCACCAAAGGCAATTTCCTTTGACGGAAAGATCTTGAAGCTGTTAGTAAAAGGCGTAGGTTATTAAAGTGATAATAATTTGCGTGAATTTTAAAACTATAACTTCAATGTCTATTAGATTGTAATGTATGGGTTCTCTTACTACGCGTCTTCATGGCAAAATGAAAAGATGTCCATCGTTAATAGAACACTACATATACCCACAAGATTTACTTCAATTCTAGATAGCCTTAGTGTCTTTGAATGCCGTTTTATTGTATCTTTCTGTTTTTTTGATTTAATATTCCCATTAGCTTAGCAAAGAACTTCAGGTTGAGTTAAAATTCTGCGAGGAGAATGACATTAACAATGTTGAAAAGAGATTTACTCCTTCCACAAATTTCGGAACCCTAATACCACGTTGCTTTGTTTAAGAAAAGTAGTTAGTAGTACATACATTTAGAGTCAAACAGGAGCAGTGCTTTGCTACTTGCAGTCACTTTCACAGACACTTTAAAGCGCAACAAACCCTGTCTAGGTTTTAATTTCAAGACACAATGCGACATTCGACTTACCGACTGCTGCAAATTTGCGCAGATATAGAAATGGGAAATGACTTAATAGCAACTCCTTGGCAGGTTTCTACTTCGCATTCCAGAATAGTTTCTTTATTTAAGTCCAACTCATATGATGACTTACACAATATCTAGAAGGCAATTATTTGGGGCAAAAACGAATTACGACAAGGTCGGTGGTTGAGTGTGCTGGTTGTAAAATAGCGGTTTCTGGCTTCACATGGAAAACTTCTTGAAAATCACCAAATGGGTTTTTGGACGACGTAAATCGAAACCTAAAAAAAGTTTACCCTGTAGGTAATTTTAGTCCAAAACGACTACCCAATTAAAAGTAAAATTTTTGAAAATTTTAAGATTCACGCGCCCTTAAATGTCTTAATGGTATTTGTTGGGAGATGAAATATTCATATGTTTGATCAACTCATTTTGCAGCACACTTCACTGGTGTGCTAGTGTAACTCTTTCTACTAGTAACCCGCATAATCTGACAGTATTATTAGTCTCAATGACTGTGGAAATTCTTTCAGATGTTAATCCACCTTAGCAATGAGTTCAATTTTTCTTCAGTTATAAATCAATTCGAAAAACGCTTGTTTCGCGAATAAATCATGAAGTAACTTTAAATTGGATAAATGGAAGCTAACGATACATTTTACAAAAGAGATCAGACACAAATTGGCACACATTAGTTACAATAAAAACCTGAAACTTCTTAGTATGATAGATAAGATTCACCCGATCGTAGATTTAGCAGTGCAGGTTTGCTAGTGTAGGAATTCGTGTTGATTCATGTCCAATACCCCAGTCGTCGTAGCTTCCAACACACGTCCCCCCTTTTCACGACCTGCCCGTCAGTCACGTGGGGTCGCTGGTTCATTAATCCCTCTGCATGTATCACCACCACCACCACCACCACCACCACCCGCTTTAGTCATGTGACCTCACAGACACCTGTTTATTTTTGTACATGTCCACTCAACCGTAAATGTACACGACACAACTTTGTTGAGTTATCTAGTAATGGTCGTGCCTACCATCTCTGGACTTATTGTCTTCCCGGGTTACTTCTCGTGGTAAAAGGCCTTCCACACTAGCAAGAGCTTTGCAAAACGCCTCAAGTATGGCAAGCGTTTACTTGTCTGTAAAATAGTGCACGACTCACCTATATCGTATCTTCAATGGGCCATTATTCCTAAGCACTATGGATCGCTTCGCCTCCTCGTCAATCCTCAGTAGCCCAAAATTTATTCCTTCTGTCGATTAAAAGACATTAAGTCCAATTGATGAGGCGGAATTTTTTTTGACAAGTTTGACGTACCTTTGGGCAACACCAAATCAATTTCTGGATCAACGGCCTCGGCTTGAATTCCGATGTACGGGTGAACTGTCACGGGTTCCACCAAATTTCGTATATCCGTGGCGATAAAACGCAAAGCTTTCTTTATAAAGAACTTTCCAGGCTTCGATGGAGCTCTAAACTCCACTCTTACAGCTGTTTCTACGTTATTAGGTTCAAGGACACCAACAGTTGGGGTGACAGAAAAAATGGCGTCTTCCAGCAGCTCTGCTTTCTCGCATGTCCAAGCGACCAGCATTGGCGTTGGATTGAGTAGAGAAATTTGTTGTTCTTCCTTCCTATTACTCATTGTCAGCGTCAAATATGACTTCTACCTGCTCAGGGGGACTTTGCCAAAATTAACCACCTTTGTTTGCACTGTTATGGTGGGTGAAATACCAGTCACGGAAAACTGTAAAACGATTGGACTTGGATTGTCATCGATGGATCCAATCAATTTACTGGTTAGGGTACCAGCTGAAACAGGTAAAGCAAATACTTTCGTCCACTCCGTTTGTCCAGGACTGATTTTGAATTTGCAAGGATTCATAGTGAAGCAGTCATCATTATCCTCAAAATGGAATGTAACATTCGCGTCGTGCAGACCATCATTTTCAAATCTCAGTTCTGTAACATTCTCTTTAAAATCACCCGCCAATATACTAGAAGCGAATAGAGGCCAATGACAATTTCAACCAATGGAAGACGGCTCGACGGCGCATTCATCTTTTATTGGTTGATATTTGATAACTTACCGCTCACGCGATTTTCCGGCAAGGAGGGGCCCAAACTCGAATATTCCAGACTCAAAAACAAATTTTTTTCTCACTAGTTTGCCAGATGGAGAAAAATCCATGCAATTTGAAAATATTTTTCTAAATAAGAAAGGTTTCGTATTTAAAAGCAGTAAGTATCGAAGTGACAAAAATTTTATTGTATTTACCCGGGTTCGGTCGAAATTTGAGGTGGATAACATAAGCCACGACAGTCTATTGTCTTTTGTTGTTTCGTTCGCATAAGTTCAAACACCAAAGAGCCTGCAAATGTTCCATGCCCAGGCGGGCTGAATCTCAGTTTGAGTTCTGTCTGATTCTTTGCTGGAATTATCCAGCGATACGATGGGGTACTAGAGTTGGGGAAAAGGATTGACTCAAAGGTGTACACCATCCCTTTGGTACTAAAAATACAGTTCTGTTGTTTCTACGTAGCTGCAAAAATGTTACGCTCTTCTGCCATGAATACATTATACTTATGTTATGATGGAAATTGTGCAATAAAACAAAAGCAAGTGGGTAGGTTTTAATAACTTGTCAAACTATCCTTTTATTTTGCGCATATTTTAACGTTTATCCAATTCATAACCATAAAGTGTTTTAATATCTTTGGTAGTATGGTGTCGATATGGCAGTAAGAATAATCCAGCTTAAAATGTGGTTTTTACCTCACTGGTTTTTCAGCAAGGGATAAGCCCGGTCGCCCGCTACGTAGTCTCGCTTTTGAAGACGAACTTGTTGATGTGTTTTGAGATCTGGCAGTTAGTGTTGACTCTCTGCTGTAGTCCGTTGGGGTCTCTGGTCTCTGCATAATCAAAACGCTATCTTTACGAAGACTTTTAAATAAAGAATTACAAACTAAACAGATTTTTTATAAGCCATGAATGATAAATTTCCAGGATTAACTTAACAACAGTATCTTTGTGACCAGAATTAGTGAACTTGTAGTGATGCCAATGGACAACAGAAAATTCTAGTCGTAAGTTTATGTTCAGCAAAAACCTTGACTTTGACGAAAACGAACTTAGAAGGAAGGGTATTGTTACAGAAATTTATTAATAACCTTAACTTAGGATTCCGGAACAACTATCATTTGCCACTAAAGAGAACACTTAGTTCTAAACATGGTGCCAGCAAGGTACCTAAGCCACAGTTTCAAAATAAATGTTTTTATAAATAAAAGTGGTTTTTGAATCTCTTGTTGTGTATGAGCATATTGTTTAATCAGGCGTTCACACTGTAAACATTACTGGACGTATTTCGACCAAGGAGCTAAAACAACAAAAGCAATAAGTTCTCGAAGTCAACTTGGCACGAAAATCACTTCATCTCCAATCTTCCATTACTCGTTTGCAGATATTCGGTTAAAATAGTCTAAGGACTACCTCCATTAATGCAGAATGGAGTGTTGCACTTGCCTCCTGAGGGACGACAATCATGAAGCACGACTCCTGATGAAGAAGGCTTCTGGTAGTGGGCGGTTTGTACACGACAGAGAAAGTCGCCGGTTCTGGAATTTCAACAGAAAGGGGTCCATACCCCAGTTGACGTCGTACTTCTTCACAACTTGGCAATCTCGGAAGTATTCTGCCTACAAGGACAGAGGTGCTTGGCTTTTCCCGCACTACATCTTCCGGTTGCTCATAGAAGTGGTCCAATACTGTAAGGCTGGACTCATTAGGTAATTTGGATTGAACTATAAAGTGCGGAATCCCAACTGCTGGAGTCTCATATCTCTTAGTCGAATCGTCATTCTCATCGTCTACACGTATTGGAGACAGTGGAGGAATATCTGCCCTTTGTCTTTGGTTCCCTTGGTCCCAGGTACGGAGGAGGTCGCAAATTCGAACATGCTCCTTGTCGAATTTCCTGAAACTACAACACGCATGCATTCAAATAGTGGAAGAAGTGACCCATAGAAACACATGTGCCATTGCCAATGGATACAACTGGACAATCGAAATTATTCATCCGAATGTTGAGCCAGTACTCACTAGCATTACGCAAAATTTGCTAGCACTACTAAAATGCGCAATAGTTGAGTAGAACATTCATGCAGACTTAACTGCAAATTTGGCCACCTACTCTCGGTCATATATGTCGTGAATAGTTTCAACTTTGGGGCCTTTCAAACAAATGGTACATTAGAGTAAAGGAACTTTCTCAAAACTACAACGATGCAAGTTCACCAACACGAGTGAGAGAAGCTGAAAGTGCACGCCTACCTGGCTTCAAGATCAGCGTATTTTTCGTTGTTTGCGATGTCTGCTTCCGAAGTTCTATAAAATTGCGTAAAAAGGACGTTTGATATACCTCAATGAATTTTTTCCTCTCCTAGCAGTCCCTTTTCGAAAAGATTTTGACTTTCCTCTAAAAAAAGTATTTTTTTGTGAATCGTTCTCAAATAAAATTGGCAACAAAAAAATGCCTGTTTGCTCGACCATACCTTCCAGACTGAAGGGTTTCACGCGCCTCGATCAGTCTTTTATTTTCCAACTCCTCCTCGTGTTGTCTGCGTTTCGACTCAGCCAGCACACGATCAACTTCCTCGCGCGCATTTCTAGGTAAGGCATCATATTCCCACTCCTCCATGCTCCTGTACTTCTCCACTTTTCTCATAAACGCGCGCTTCTCTGCCATAATCAAAGCCTCCTCATAACGCGAATCTGCTAGTTTTACGGAGTCCAGTTCGCGGATTAGTGTCACGACAAACACGTTTTTTCGGAGTTTGCCAGTTACCTTCAACACACTTTCACATCTGTCGCGAGATTTTATGTCATCCAAAATGATACCAAAAATGCAGTCGTCTTGCATAAAACGAGTCGTCAGAAAGGATTCGTCAGGCGCCTAGAATGAGGTCTATTGTTACTAATCCTATTAACAGCAGTTAACTAGTTTATAATGACGATACTTACGGCGTCTTCAGAGGCCAATGCAATAGAAGGATCGACATCTCGAAGAACTTCTTCTACGTTTATGTAAGCCGCATTGTAATGCGCAGCAAGTGCCTTGGAAAAGTCTGTGGATGTAATACGGCAATCAATCAGGTATTCGTATGTACTCAAGGCATTTCACGATCCAGCACCATGCTTAATTTGTTTCAGATCAAAATAAATTCGTTCAATGTGGCGTTGGAACATTTCAGGATTCCCAAGGCTGAGTTTCGGCTTTACTGACTGTGTTGCAATTAAATGTCATATTTTGGAATAACGGCCTTGTTATAACATGCAGCAATTTTAGATCGATTTAGTGATCTAGAGATCAAGTCAGTGTTTGGTCAAATTCTTAAGATGTGGCAATTTAGCAGCAAATAACTGTAAAATTCCGCTGCGAACGAGCTGAATCAAAGGTTATTAGGTCTTTTTGTCTAAGTCTGACGTTATCAATTCAAGCAAAAGAAGTGAAACGCAATATATTTCCCTAGGCTGAGAGAAGTGGTCGCGTGCAGCAATCATTCATTCGCCAATTCATCAATTCAGTGGCCGTTAAAGGACCAGGCCTAGGTTTGGCTGTTCGAAAGAGATCCTATGCACAAAATATAGTCTAACTTGACAAAACGCATTTTTTTCCGAGATTAATTAGACTTGACTTATTGTTATGAACATGAATAAGGAAGCCTCTAATTAATTTTAGCCCATTATTAGTTCAGTTTGATTCCTGGACTGGAAGGAATTAATGAAACGCACAGTAAATTGTCAAAGTGTGGACATTACCAGTTTTCCCAGAAATCGGTGAACCAAAGACGAGAACAACGATCCCTCCCTCTTCTACTTTAATGCGCCTCTCCTCCACAAATCTCTTGAAGGTCTTTATACAGTCAGGTGGAGTTGAAGGTTGTGGTTTTTTTCTTGACGAACTGGGAGACTGCTTCGAACTCCTTACACGACCCGTCTAAAATAACAAAGAATACCTTCAACTATTTGTCCCCGCATCGCCAGGACGATTTCCGCCCATATTTCTAATCCTCTAAAAGTTGGAGTGACATGTGACCAGGTTAACGTCCTCTGCTAAAAATTGAGGTCAAATTTAGGCACAAAACCATCTGCTTTTGCCTCCCTCAGGCACTCCACAGGCTTTGTTTTAAAAAGTTGTATTTTGGCTTCAACTGAGGGCCAAATTTACCAAGCAATCACATGACCATCAGTTCAGCAAAGTGTCCAGTGCGGGAACAGAGCCCGTGTCGCCAAAATGGATGGTACCTTGATTGGCCACGAAGCCCATTGGGAGAAATATGGGCTTCCAGAGCTCATGTGACCCCGACATAGTTGAAAACTCATCCCTATCTTGCTTAAAACGGCCCACATTAGGACTCAGTTAATTTCATATTTTGAAGATAGGTGTCACAATATGAGAATTTTGAAGCAGTCGAGTTTGAGAAAAAAATTTCAAGTAGGTGAGCTCATTGAAAAGTCATAAGGCTCTTAGAAGACTCGGATAGTTGCCCATACGAAATGCATTTCTAAGCCCCAATGTTCTGTTTGGTTATTTATAGTGAAAAGTAAATTAAGGAAGAATATTATTGGGGGGATTCGAAATGCTTAATTTTTAAATTCCAGCAGCCTAAAGTTGATTTTAACTGTTAAAATTAGTTTAATTCAGGTGTTTATGCTTTTACAGGTTGACCCAGACTGTAGAGGTCAAAAAACCGTTATTCAGACAACCTTTTATGCACAGTGGCGCGATGAACACAACTTGGTTGAGCTACCTAGTGAACGTTTTCCCTGCCATCAATAGTCGCCTTGTTTCCTGAGTGTTGTAAACGGGCCAAACTCTTCACAGAGGCCCAGTGTGGTTCCAGACCACATGCTGGGGCCGCCAACAACGTAAAGTGCACCCCTAAAAGTTGTACAGGTACTCATCTCCCGAAACTCCAATTAAGGGATGAATACATCAAACTTCAAACTGAACTTCACTCGGATCTCCATTGATAAGTTGCAAGTATTGCCACTTAACCCTCTTACAAAATCTATACTTTCTTAACGCAGGTAATTCATATTGCAGGATTGAAAAGAGTTGATAGACAAACCTTTGGATTACCGAGGACGGACTGAGTTAACAACTCGGAGTGCTCAAAAATCGCTCTAGGCAAACTCTCTCCTGGTCCTCTTGTTGGCAAAAGCAGCTCGTCAGTCTCACCAAACTCCTGTAAACAGCTAAGAGCACAATCCTCCTAAAATAAGCAAACTCATGGGTTAAGTATACGCAAGTCAGAGTTGATTCTCAAAAAAGCTACCTCACCCTCATGTGAACTTGGTCGTACTGAAGGCTGTAAAACTCCACTGGAAATGGGCACGGGTTCTTGACGATGAGAGTCATCTTAGATTCATCACCATTAGGAAGCAAAGGTGGAAAATCCGCACAACTTGGTTCAAACAACAATTGGGGCTCAAGGCCACAACCTTGACATTTGATTGGGAAAGAAGTACTGGAATCAGGTAAACTGATTAGTACTTCCTCTTTAATCAGTCCTGCTTTTTTGGGATTGAATTTAATCTATATTTATGGCGCCACTCAATGAACATATTACCAAACTTACAAATATATTCTCTTTCTGATCGGGTCTCAATGTGCCACATTTGGGTAGACACTCAAGAGATGTGGTTGTGGTTGTCGGGTGGATCCAGGTAATAGGTAAAGCCGTTGGATTGTGCAATTGCACGGATATTATCCTCGCTTCATTGAGAAAAACTTCACCAAAGTCAAGGTTGTCGTCACTAATTTTCACTTCTGGAGCAACCACATTGGCCAAAAGTCGTATCGGTAAATCTATATTTCTGTGAACCTAATTCGGTGTCAGACGTTACATAAACTTAGTTCACCTTCAGCAGTATGTCCACGCACACACGACCAGCTTGCCAGTAGGACGAGTCAAAGATGATTACAATGTCTCTGTCTAGGCGAATTTCAACTCCCTTTCTGGCAAGGGTTTGACGAAGTGATTTCCTAATGGCTATTTCATGCGCAAAATTGTGGCACAGTTGCGAGAATTTTACTGTCCTCTCTCTAGTTTCGCCTAGCGTCACATTAAAGAGATCCAACTTATAGGCTGGAAGAGTTAGTCTGAAAATTTAGAGATTCTTGTAAAAGACAGCTTACGCCAGGGATGTCTCTTTGTGCAACTGTGAGCTAATGCAACCGACTTCAGATGCACACGCATCATTTTTTAAAGTTACTTCGCCGTCCATGTGGGGCAGATTTAAACTAAGATGCGGAAAACAGGCTCTCCCATGAATCCTTATGCGTTGTGGATGCATATTTGCTATGGCAACTTTTGCAAAGATGGTGAATTTTGCCGGCAGTTGTAATTGTACACAAACCTGAACTTCAGCCACGCCTTGTGGTGGTACTTCTCCGGTAGACGGCTCGAAAGTCAGACCGGCATCATTCCTTTCGTGAGTTACAGCGAAGAAACTCGGAACTTTTCCTGCGTTGTAAATTCGCAGAATTCGTTTTTCTTGTTTAAGAAATAATATATCTCCAAACGGAACTTCATTTACTCGAATGTAGCAATCTGAGGTCGAGCTTTCACCTCGTAACAATACATCGTAATCCATCCCACCATTGACGCAGCAAATAGCAGTGCATTCAGCAGATATATTCGCATTTCCATTGAACTCAAATGTGACAGAAATATGGCCTCCAGATTGAATGGAACCGAATTCAGGATCGATGCTGAAGACATCAGTTATGTCTAATGTGTCTATATTTGCGATTGACGCAACGCGACGAATTGGTGCTTTGGGAATTAGGAATTTCTCCTGGGATTTCGAGCGTGTCACCCCTCTAAACTTTACACACTCGTTCGACGAAATTCTACCCCTCGTAACCTTCCACCGATAATTTACTTCGATGGGGCTGTTATTGTGAAGCACCATGGACTTGACTGATTTACTTTCATTCAGAATGCATCCGAAATCCACAGTGTCAGTTTCCAAATGTAGACCAGGAAATGCAATATCACCATGAACTGGAATCCCAAACTTCAAATGGGAGAGATAATTGTAAAAGACCTTTTACCTTAAAGGGATGATCTAAGGTGGAGAGGTTCAATCGTTTTTTCAAAATAACATTTTTCCGGTCATGTTCAGCGAAGGCTGGATCAAACACAAGAACAAAATTCCTTTCTTCCTTACCGCGAAGCACAAGTTCCTGTTGAACGATCAGGGCTTAGAAATGACTTTAATTTCTTACCAACTGTTGAGTGGTGCTTCCGTGTGGACGGAAAAAGAATGGAGGGTCAATGGTTAGGAGAAAAGTCGTTGGTATTTCGGAAGTGTTTTTAATCAAAATATCTTGGGAGACTTCTCTAAGAATTTCGTCGGGGACCTACAATATTTCTGTTAATTACAGGCTCATTTACTCACTTTCAGAATCCGAAAGCCTACAGGATTCGGAATAATCTCCACCATTGGTTGAATAAATTCGGCTGAAACAGCGCATTCCTTGATTAATCGTTTGTGTCCATGGTTATCTATCACTGTGAAACATTTAAGGTTGAACGTGATTTTCTGGGGTCTGTAAAGCAGGGAATCAAAACAAGACATAAATGCTTCGTATGGACAACTTTGCACTGTTTTCAAAATTTTAACTATACTTACCGTGACGAAAAGACTTTCAAAGAAAAATCAACGCTTTCAAGTGGTTGCAGTTCAAATTTTTGTGGCTCCAACACAATATTGTAAGCAGCTTCAGTGGTTGGCTAGATTTCAAGATGGAAAAATGGCCGAAAATTTTTCTATCAAATTTAACAGCTACTCAGGAATAAAACGTACAAAATAAAACTTTTTTTTAAAAATGTGACTAGGTCCTCAATGATTCCACAATTTTTTCGAAATCATTTTCTGGCTCCTACATCTTCCCATAATAGTTATAAACCCTCTTCTTACAATTAGGATCTAACTTTAATGGCGATGTTTTGATGCCACGTCTTTGATTTTGCATTTATTAATCACTGCAGCCTTTTCCTTCATAAAGCTTTTGATGATGGCCATTTTCAGCTTACAAATCATAGGGACGTAGATGGAGGTGTATAAGTACAAAAACCCAAAAAATGTGAATTTATTTGTGATGCATTTTGTGTTAGCAATGGTTTTAGTCAAAACAAATAAGCTAGGCCCGCTTGGACGTTAATTAGAGGTCTGCACAGGTAATAAATTAAGAGTACTAAAATATATTAGTTCATGTGATCCTTCTTTTTGACAGCATGAAACCAGCAGTCCATGGAATTAAACATACATTTTCATGAAGGTGAATTAAAACTGGCTTGATTTGAATTCGAAATTATAAACATTGTGGGATGAGGCTTTCCCAGCATTACACAGATTAACCGAATATCAACAAACTTTGAAATCCTTGGCAATCTTATTACAGAAATGCTAAAACCATGAAATCACAATGTTTTAAGGAGACTATTCGTAGGTAAAATCTACATTATTTACAGGTAAACTGTGACGTTTGCTGTGATGTCGCATTATGTCAAAATATATCAATATCGGTCCTACCTCGTTTTGTTGCGTCGTTTGTGTGCTCTGAACACTCTCAACCGTCCAGACAAGACGCTGTTGACGTCGGCCACAATTTTTCACCAGAAAAGCTCGCGTGTGTGGAAAAGTGTCGAACTGCTGGCCAAATGTGAGACAAAGGGGAACCTCGGGATCAAATGTGATCGTGCTTCCTTGACCAAAGGCTCTTAGGTAAATGGTGGGTGGGGGATTCTGTGATTCAGCTACATGAACTTCCACAATGCTGTTAAATTCAACATCAACATCGTTGGCGCAGGCTGTCGCCTCAATTTCGGCTGAACCAAATGGTGGAATGGTCAATTCCTTTGGACATATTGAAAAAGCACTCGTCTTCTTAATCTTCAAAAGAATAAAAGTCAGGTAAATAAAATATTAAAATTTAATCGGAACACAAATTCGTGAAATTTGGCGAAGTAGTTGGCCTGAAATAGGATGTACTTCACATTTTCAAATTTGGTACAGCACCATGTGGATGCAAAATGGGTTAAAAACCTCCCATGAATTTGGTTTGAATCTTTGACTGAGGCTGCTTGAGAGAAGACTGTGCGAATCCAATCACAAAATCATAAACCCTTAATCACTAACTTATTCAATTATCCAATTCACATGTCGAGAGCATTTAGAAACTGGTTCCATTTATTTTCAGTTTACGCAGCATCGTGTATAATCACCTCAAAAGGAGGTTAATCTCACTGTCTTACTTTGGAATCAAATCTTTAAAGCTCATATAACTCTTCTCAAAATAACACTCAAAATGATTTGTGCTCAGAATTTACTTGAACCGCCGACAAGTTGGCTTCAATGGGAGATTCATTGCGAAGCTGAATGAGACGTTGAAATGGCACGAGGGCAGGAATTTTCCCAAAGTCCAATTCGTGCGAGCTAAGGACTATAATCGGACCTTCACAATGAAATTTCACCTCAGCGATCTAATAAATTAATAAGTGTAAGATTTGATACAAAGCAAAAGACAGTCAATGAAGTATTTGCAGTGCAGGATTACCAACGGATTGTAGTCGGCCCCAGCTACCAAAATGTGCACTAAAGTGAACACGGTCCCCGTGACCTTAACTTGAGCCTGGAGCTGAAGATTTGTCACCGTATTTGGCTGTATAATCCCCTGAAACGCGAAAAAAGATCTTTTGTTTTAATTTGAACCCGTAGATTCAGGAACCGCTTTTTTAAAAGCAAACAAAAATTAAACCAGAACTCGAGCTGAACATTGCACAAATTGCTACCTTGGATGTCGTTGTTTTCAAGCAGACGTTTGTGCTTTGTGTTGGCACAACGGTGAATTTGGCTGGATATTTCGTAAAGTTTTCAAGTGCAAGTTCGAAGTTCCTTGGATAATTGAGGAAGCAGGATTCTAGTTCAACTTGCCTCGATTCCAGCTGTATTTTAGGGACGCAGCACCTAAATTTTGTCAAAAAAATCAATTTAAGGAATCCATATTTACCCACTACCCTTTTCCATCCTATAACATATTTTAAAAGTGCGAATTACCTATTCGCATTCGCTCTGCGTGACATTTGTATTCAACAAACTACTAACCTTGCTATTATTGGGATTTCACATATGCGTCCCACGCGTTCCAAATCTACGTGAATTGAGCACTTAACACAGCCTATTTCCGAGGCCAAATATGTAACATTTAAAGTAATCGAATCCGTCGGTCCGAGGTATGCTTTGGACGGTGTACACAAAATTGAGTTGCTTTTGTTGACCGTGAAGAAGACAGAAACCGGAAAGGATGATAAATTCTGGATAGTAGCCGAGTTCGTCGCAGCAAAATCTAAAAAAAAAGCAATAATGGGCCACATCTATAAGAAATTCAGTATATCAAAAGGCACTAACTTTAATAATGGATATACTTTTATCAGATTTTACGTTCATCAATTTTACTAAAAGTTATTTAGAAGCCAACTAGCTAGATATACTTTCTAAATGACTGTGAATAAGCCATTCCTTAACATGGTTGCTTCATCAATAAAATCATGCATGGTGCATTCGCCTTGAGCCTAAATCGCAGAATTTGAAAGAAAAACAAATATGCAAGAGACTCAGTCTCATGTTAACTTACCAAATGCAATCGTACCGAAATCTAGAAGCGGTGGATCTATCGACAACTTGGGTGCAATAGTCTCTCCACTAGAAATAAATATAAAATACTGCAATTTAATTAATTTTAGCCATGGTAGAGGTGACAATAAAAAATACTGACATTATACTGACTGTTTCTACCCTTGAGCTCCCCTCAAATGTGAAACTGATGTTTTCCACAAATGGACCCAAACGCCATGACAAAAGAGTAAGCACAATCGCCTGATAGGCATTTGGCATGATCGTTCCCATCGAAGGAGTGGTAGTAAAACCATCTGACTGCGAATGAACGGAGAATGCTGCCGTGATCTCGCTCATATTCTGCAGGACTAGCTCGTAATCATGAGCTATTGTAGAAAATATCTTCCCAACATTTAGCGACCTGAAAGAGAACGCGATTTCCGGCCCAGCACCGCGACCTCTTAGTTCCAAGCTAAGACCTTCACTCTTTCCCACTACGCTACATTGCGCTGTTGAGACGAATTCAGTGTCGGAAGTAGGCGTAAACGTTACAATAATGTCCCGAGAAGAATTCGGCATTACTGTCCCATCAAGGGGCTGCAGAACAAACACTGGAGCAGGTTCCTAAAATGTTTACTGGAATATGAAAATTACTTGAATTCGCCATGAGAAGCGGACGGCGCGGTCACCCGCATTTTGAATGGCAATTGATGTGCAACTGCGTGTCGAAACTAACGTGTTAGGCATAGTTACTGAATTCATTGAGAGCGAAACATTAGTCTCAAGGCCTTCCCCAGTTAACTGGCATACCAGTTCTTCACCATTTTCACAAACAAATATAAGCAGACCGTGAACTTTGGCTGCATCCTTCGGAGTAAAAGTAGCAAGAAGTCTTGCTTCACTGGTCACGTGAATGATGCCGTGAGATGGATGAATTGAAAAAGGACTTATGTAATCAAATTTTGCGTTCTTACCCAAATACCGTTGTTTTGTACTTAACTGGGGTGCATGAACTACAGCAGAATGTAAGAACCTTTTGTGCCTCTTCATTTACGAGACAAGGAAGAAAAGATACCGTGGTCGGCCCAGTGATGGTTGGTGAATCACTGAGAGCAATAATTTTCAATGACAAGGATTGCCCCAATTTGTCCATTATAACAATTTCGTGGGTGCATTTCGAAAGATCCCTTGGCTGGAAAGTAAGGCAAAACAATTCTTCGTTGCCGCCTTTTTTGGCAGACAAAACGCGTGTTATAATGAAAAAGGGCGACTTTCTTTGATGAAAGGTAGTGACCCTTGAGTGAATTGATTTGACATTCAACATGATAGAATAGGCATAATCCGGTTTAAACTTCCTTAGAATCAAAAAGTGTTGAAAGACTGATCGATTTGATGACCCTAGGATAATAGTTGGCTAAGAAAGCAATTAAAATACATTTTTCTTACTATTTTACGTCTTTGAAGTTCTAACTGAGTAACTTTTATGCTGAGATCCATGAATTTATTTCTTGATATGCAAAACGCGACACTAAAATGAAAATATACACATAATCTTTTATTTACTAAAAGTGATTTTAAAATATGTAGAATCTAAAACTGATCTCAGACGCAAGAAGTTTTATATTTGTGCTGCTCAATGTTCGGCAGCGTCAATCCCTTAGACACACGATAACGGAAGCTGTTTGTGATCACTTAGGGTATTCTGAAAACGCAATAAAAACAGTATTGCTATAACATTGTTTGAACAGTGATTAAGTGTTTTAGGATCACTGTCGTGATTGACTCAAAACATTAGAGTAGTGATTAAGGAAAGTAACAATTTTTTTTCTACAAAGATTCAATTCAGAGATATGTAAAATCGGTTAACGTACGAGAAGTGCTTGGGTAAAATCAAACCACAACGTAAAAGCAGTTTGCGCTATTTTAAAACCTATTAAGATATAGCGATCTAAAGAGACTGAAATCGGAAATAGGACTGCCCCAACAATATTTAGGCAGGGTCCGAGAAAGAGTGCTGTTTTATAATTTGGATTAAATAAATTGAAAAATGTTTACATGCGTACAACACTGGAATGAAAGTTGCAATCCCAGAGCACTATACATTCTACACATATTGCATAAAGTAAAGAACAGGAATACTAACTCAGATTTGTGTAAATTTGAAAATTTAAATGGCCTCCAAATCAACAATTGGAAAAAGGACCTAGCTTTGAGTTCTGTGTCGCTGATGGATTTAACACAAGGACGTGGTGATTAGCCTCATCGCGTATAATTCAACCAGAAGTTAGAACTTTATTTGCTATGCCGCAATCGCTGTTGAAATATTCATTGCACTTTTTAATTTTAGTTGGAATATTCTTAGAATTCTACGTAATAATTTTCAATAATAATAATGACTTGAAACGTAATTTCCGACTGAAGCCCTTTAGCCTGCCTGCAGATACAAAGAAAGTAATTATAAGAAAAGCAAATAAAGTTGATAAAAGCATTTGTACGATTTCGGATTCGTAAGGCGAAAAACTTTTTACAAATTTGAGGTCCTTTTCTACAATAATTTTGCTTCCTTAAATATTAAGGAAGGTTAAAAATGCCTATTCTTTTCGCATCCTAACAAACCATCAATATTATATGGCATAGGCCCCATATAAAATATAGGAACAATCAGAATAATTGCAATTCTAAACATGTCAGCATCATTTGATTATAAAAACCAGGTTACGCAAAAAAACTCTGAAAATAATCTTATACATTTAGTTAAAAACGAGAGCGCTATTATAAGTCGTGCGTTTAAATTCTGAACAGTTTATAATTTATTCTATATGAATGCAAATAGGCGGGGCGTCAAGGTTAGCACCAAAAGCAAAATACTCATTCATTACAACAACTATACAAATTAATTTGTCACTTTGTAGAAAAGTTAGATGTCAGTTTGCGCAATAAGCATAATTATAAAAAAAGTTTTTAAACAAAAAAAATAGCATAAAATTGATTTATCAGGCGTTTGTTCAAAAACATTGCCAACGATGCATTGACTATATTTTTCGAGTAACAACAAAGATTTTTAAAGTGTCTAAGCCCTACAGTAGTTTTATATAGAATGAGGTAACGCTGCAAAAAAACTCAGTGATTCATTTAAGATCTAGTCATTTGCATAAAATCGACGGCATCAACTAAAGGGTAGTATTTGACCGACTAATTTTATCGGACTTTAAGTGAGTAAGCGCATTTTTTTGCACAGATTTTTATACTACATTTTCTAAAAATGCTAATAGTTATTAGCAGAACATGCAAGGAAATACTGGTTAAAAGGTTGCGACGGTACTTTACAGATTTTAGGTATCACGAAATGTCCAGTTAGTTAGTTTAGAAATTGCTATGTGTTATTAGACGTTCACTTTGTATGTTTGCATCACAGTTTCACAGAAATCAAACATGTGGATGTCCAAAATACTTTCAAAGAAGAAAATTTACTTGTGGAATATCTCAAACGAAGCGTAATCTAAATATTCTGTTGTAAATTTTACGTATTTGAGTTTTGACCCAAAAATGATTTCTGAAATTTGCGTGCCATCAATCAATCTATTGCAGTATCTTAAATGCGTAATCCCATCTATTAAAAAGGAATGCAAGCGGTAAGATAATGTTGATTTTTCAAAGCACTGAAAGAAGATATTCTAAAATTCCTTTAAATAAGAGAAATTCAATTTATGCTCTGACCTCATGTTTAGCGCACCTAATTGATTCCTTTAAATCAATTTAATCTCTTTAAGGCTATCTTAAGACAAAAAAGGTGCAGAATTTTACCATGCGTTAAATTTTTTGGTTTTCGTATTAATTAAAATACCCACATTCACACGGACATTTAGTAAACGAGACTGAAGATATGAATAAACGTTCTTATTTAAGCTGACCAGAGTTTAACCTTTTTAATTTTAATCTTAACTATTTTTGCCACTAAAATATTCAGGTATATATATATATATTACAGTAGTTAATTAAGAGTACGAAGATTAATTCGAGGGTTAATATTATTAGTTTTTACATGATTTGACGTCAGTTTTTAATTTTAAGTTTGCTGTAATGGTTCAAATTTTTAAGCATAGCTAAATTAAATGTAACATGTGTATGGGCTACGTGTTAATTAATCTTATTATTAGTCTGCTCTGGCCTTAGGTCTATCATGGATTTTTAAATTTTTGACGCAAACGAAACACACCTGAATGCATAGAGAACAGTGTGGAAATATATGGCATAGTATGTATCAGAAAAATTAGGAGACGCTCTTGTATTTTTTGACTGTCATGAATTTTGACATATTCCTTTGTTAAAGGGACTTTTTTATTTTTTTATTTCTCTTGTAAATCCCAAAGAGCATTACAAAATGTTTAACACAGCCATATTTTCATAATCAGTTATTGGTGACCTTTTGATTTGTTCTACTTGTCGTGCTATAAGTTAATTGGTCCGATTTCTAATGCATTTGCTAATTGGTGATTAAAGGGGCGCCTAGTAGAATTTGGTGTAGAAAATGCTGAAAGTTTTTTTTGTTGTGTGCTTATTTTTTGTCTTTATTAGAGCGTCAACCTCTCGAAGTCACGAGGTACGAAATAAAGGATAGTAAAATTTTTTTCTAGAAGTTATTGGATGATAAATTACTGGAGATTATAAACCTTCCCAAAAAGGATGGACTTATTGATCTGGATTTGAATATTTTTGAAAGATACGTAGTTTCTTCTCCTCGTAATTATTCGTTTGTTTTTGTTGTTGGAACTCGGGTGGCCAAATGTGAGCCCTGCAAGTAAGGAATTTTGGTCGTCTACTTTTTTAGACCAGCGATGGACTCTCTCTCTAACATCGCACTTCAGTGGCAACGCGACAACATGTATTCACCAAAAATATTTTTCGGTTTTATTGATTTCGCCCTGTCTATGGAGCTCATATCACTTGTAAGGTTTTGGCATTCTTATTGAGTAGCTGGAAATTGCAACTGCTCCTTATGTTTTTCACTATGGTCCTCTCCAACCATATGGTTCCTATGATAAGACAAATAAGCCCCAGGTATTGACATCCCCAGACATGCTTGCTGAGTGGATTTCAAAAATTTCTAATGTCAAGGTTAGTGGTGATTCCATACTTTAATCCATTGTTAGGTCAAAGCTTCCAAACAACTGGATTTTTCTGCATTTGCTGCAGGCACCGTAGTTATTTTGCTCGTTGCCATAATTTCGAAAGTTAAGTGGCTTAGAAATAGCAAATTCCTCGCAGTTATGTCTCTGGTAAGTTTTCTCTGTCCCCGTTTTTGCCCAATTTTATGCTTGTTCGAAACCTTCGTCATTTAGCAGTCATAAACTTTAAATCATCTGTTTTTTTCCCATGAATTTCGTGTTAACCAGAATAGCTTAAACTTGAAAGGTTCTTAGCGGATATTCTCTACTTGACAAATATTACATAACTGTGTTAAAACATTCCTAAAAATCTACTTGATCGCATTTTTAATTGTAGATGTTTATATGCACCATGTGTTCTGGATGTATGTGGGTGTCTATCCACTCAATGCCGTTTATTTCTACTCAGGGAGG